AAAAAAAACACATTTGTCTGCTAAAACGTATGACTGTAGACACCTCAACCATGAATATTAATTTCATGTCTGGCTGAACAAAAGTTTAACAGTGTCATAAATCAGGTTTAGTAAGTGAAACCATTTTATTTCATTTTTAAAGAGAGTTTGAAACAGTGATTTTATCGGTTATCTCAACAATTTGCCTGGTAGGCTGAGCCAAAGCCTTTACAGATCAACCCTCATATAAAGCTGCTGTTTATGAAATTCACATACTGCAAGTATATGACCTAAAAGTAGAGACTTTAAAGAGGAAATCTTTTACGGTTTAATTTAGGAAGAAGTGTCTGCATTTATCCAGCAGATGACCAATAAAAGCGGTTTTAAAAGATCAATTTTACATTTTTTTAGGACAAAAGAATCCTTGAACACAAAGTTGGTTAATTTTCCATCTGACTCTGTTGTGAAAAAGACAAAATTAGTCCAACAACGTGAGTTTAAGGCTCATCCAATTCCTATTTGGAAAATTTAAAAGAGAATCGGGGCCCTAAAAAGGTAATTATGACAAGAAAAAGTTGGATTTTTTACTTTTGATTTCAGTGGACTTTTTTTTTGTTGGTCCTTCTTTTTTGCTAAAAAAAAACTAAGTGAAAGTAACAACTTATAACAATAAATCAATGGCTAAATTAAAATAAAGCATTCTGATTCTGATAGGAGTTAAAACAGCATCTAAACTTCCTGTTTAGATCAATTACCACCACCATTAGACTGCTGAATGTTGTATAAAATGGGAGTTGGGAAAAAAACGCTGAACGTTGGAAAACTGGAAATCATATACTAGTCTATCATTTATATTTGATAACCATGTTTACATTTTATCACTGCTGCATTTTAAAAATGGAAATGTCTTAACAGCTTACTGAACAAAGTTTCTTTTAGTATTTACTCTGTGTGGACAAAATGGCAATAAAGTCTAAGTCTAAATGTAATTAAGTGATTTTAAGTCAATCAAAGTATTCCCAATAATTGTTTTCATTTTGAAACTTAATTGGGATAAATTACAGGGGAAAATAAGTAGTTGATGCACAAAGGTTAAAGGGGAACGCCGTTTTTTTTTTTTACATTATTACATCATGTTCTACTCACCCATGACTTTTGTGTCATTTGGAGCCGTTCTGAAGATATTCCGTTAGGTTATATCCAACTAACGTCTTCCCCGCGCACCAGACTGGAGTCGTGACAGGCAGCCCGGGCCACAGGCGGCTACGCTAGCTAATCTGAATCTTTAAATTCCAATTCGAAAGTGAGATCATCTGTGGTATTAGCACTAGACATCTTCCAGTGAGTAAAACCAGCAGCAGTTCAGCGGACAGGATGAATGAATTGTAGCCGGCGTGCGCGGATAACGTCATACACACTCTGCTTTGTTTTTAAAAGATATAAATATAAAAGATATAACCGCGGATGTCTGGTGGACAGTGATTCGCCTACATGTTAAGAATGCTGGCGTACCATAAATGATAAATTATGAACAGTTTAGTTTGTGGCTTCAACTCGTTGCCCATAGGAAGACATTACTTGGATATAATATATATCTGAATATCTTCAGAACGGCTCCACATGACACAAAACTCATATGGGTGAGTAGAACATGATGTAATAACGTAAAATCAAGGGCCCAATGTAAAAAAAAAAAAAGAAAAGGCGTTCCACTTTAAGCAAGTTTTCTCACTTCTAGAGTACGAAGAGGTCTGTCATCTTCATTGTCAGTAAAGTTCATGGGAGAGAAAATCTAAAAATAAATCCTGGAAATCCTATTTTATGATAAAAAAAAAAAGTGTCAAAAAACAAAAACAATTATCTGAATCTAATTGATTCTCATATAAATCCCTAAAGATAAATTCTTATAACCGAATAAAAAATATATATATTCTCCACTTTCCTTACAGCTGCTATGAGCTACTATTACTCTATGAATTTGCTGTTGAAAGTTAATATAATACTGTTTTTTTAAATAGGTTTAATAGGTTTAATAACAATATAGTAATCTATTTTAAGATTTAACCAGATTGAAAATAATCAATTCTCAATCGAAATCAAATTAGTTATCAATTACTTTTGATTAATAATCTGCATTTTAGTGCATATAACACACATTACATCATCTGCTCCATTGAACTGGTTGCCTGGTAAAAATCAAAGGCACGTGTTCAAACACGCCGTTCAAACCAAAGAGCCATCTAAAAACCTGGGGTAGACTCCAGCACAGCAGCTTGATAAATAATTAAAATATGCTTTCATATCAGCTGTGCTGCTGCTATCAACACCTTTGTTTATACACGTTTGAGATCAGTGTGTTTTCCAGTGTAGTCCTGTTTCTCTGACTGTGACTGACTGGATGTGCTCTCTTCATCCTCTGCTTCTGTCTCCTTGAACCCCAGTGGGCCTCAGCAGATGGCCGCTAACACTGAGCCTGGTTCTGCTGGAGGTTTCTTCCTGTTAAAAGGGAGTTTTTCCTCTCCACTGTCGCTACAAGCATGCTTAGTGTGAGGGATTGCATTCCAATCAATGAGTCGATGCAATCAACTGGTTTTCCTTAGATAGAAAACTTTGAATCAATTTGACTGCATGATCTGCTGAACTCCAAAGTGGCTTAAGATGACTTGTGTTGTGAATTGGCGCTATATAAATAAACTGAATTGAATCGAACATCCTAGTGATTTTACCTACAATGGAAATGCCTTCATTCTTTTGGAAGTGGGGAAACCTGCAAAGTAGGCGGTGCATCTAATACTTATTTCTCCCCAGCATAGAGGAGTTTCCTCTCCATTCATGTTGCAGACTGCAGGCGTCATTCAGTGAGCGTAAGTGATGTGCTCTGCTGATGGCCGTGAATGAATAAGTTGAAGGTGGAACCGATCATAGTTAGCTGTTAGTCGTAAAGTGAATGGATGACAGCGCAATGAGAAGAAGAAAGATGGAGGACACTTCTCCTCTGCTTACGGCGTCATTAATCTCAGATAACGACTGAAGAGCAGCCTTAGCGCGGTCGCTGAGGTGCAGTGAGGAATAATGAGATGAGGCATGGGGAATGAAGGGAGCAAACAAAGTTTATGTAAATATAGGTGCTAATTTTTTGACTGAAATTGTATTTCATCTTATTTGGACTCGTTAACATTTAATTTTGGAAAATTCTTTATTAAAATGGCTGTGCATTTATCAGCAAGCTGCAGGGAGAGCTGGCTCACTGCCGTTTACTTTTCTTCTTTAAAAGTCGCTTCCTGCTTAGACTGAAAAAAAAAAGTACAAGTAGACGGCTAAAAAATGGAGCAAAAAAAGTATGGCATAAATAATTCAATATACGATTTAGAGCTGCAAATGATTCAAAAAGGAGAAAATCAAGCCGCACTGAAGGTGATCTGAATACTTTTAAATGAAAAAGGTTTTCAGGACTTGTAAACTATTTGTATTTTTTATTTCATCAGCAGATAACGGATGCATTACTCATTACTAGTAGCTGACTTTTGACATTTTAATCTACAATGAGGGCAAAAATTGCACAAAATTTGAAGATGAATATAAAACATCTTGCTAAGGAGTTCTAACAACTTTTAAGTTTTCATTCCCGGCTGCAGAATGTTTGAAGCACAAACATGATTAAATCCTTCAGATTTTCCTTTAAACGGGGCAAAATATTTTCCTCATGTTGGGCAGAAGTGTTGATATGCTAAGACAAATAGGTCTTTGATGTCTCTTCAAACTTTAAAAAGTCTTAAAATTACTTTTAGACCCCAATGTTACCGATTTTTTTGCTTTTTTGCTGAGATCCTGAAAAAGAAATATAATATAATATAATAATATGGACTAAATTTTCAGTAAAATTATATAATAATATAATAGGTATAATAATAGGCATATTAAAAAAATACTGTCAACCATTGGATTCTCATTTCTGGTTCTCAGATGCTTCTCTGCTGCATTTCTTAGATATTCCTCAGTTTGGAACAAGGTTACTGGACATCTTAGTCATTTACCAGAATTCAATTTCACAGACGGAAGTCACAGAAACAGATGGACAGATAGTAGGAAGGAAGGAAGGAAGGAAGGAAGGAAGGAAGGAAGGAAGGAAGGAAGGAAGGAAGGAAGGAAGGAAGGAAGGAAGGAAGGAAGGAAGGAAGGAAGGAAGGAAGGAAGGAAGGAAGGAAGGAAGGAAGGAAGGAAGGCAGGAAGGATCAATTAACAGGTAAACAGATAAAAAGACAGATGGATCAAAATTTCCAGTTTTTAAAGCTAATATTGTTTTTTCTTCCTCTGTCTACATGATCAAAGCGATACAATGAGGATTGTTACACAAACCAGAATTTAAAAGGAAAAAGAAATCAAAATAAACATCAGAGATAGCAGATAGAGGGAACAGCAGTGAATAAATGAAAAAACATGATATATCCATCTGTTTCTAATCAGCAGCTGTTTAAGTTTCACATCCTTTTCCTTTTGTTCATGGGTCAAGGTTGGTTTAGACAGCTTCATGTCTCTTAAGAAACTGAAAAGTTAAACACTGCTTCTTATTACTTATTTAGGTTATTCTAGCGTTTTAAAAAATATGTTAAATGAATTAAAACAAATGTAACAAAAGGTAAAAGAAAAAAATCTTGTAAAGCTGGAAAGATGGACCTTTCTGCCTTTAAAACCTGACAGGCCATGTTCACACCTCCACACTTTACAAGCAGCTCCACACTTCTCCATTTTATTGGGGGAAATTCTCATCCCAAGGGTATCGAACCACTGCAGAAGCAGCCCAGCTAAAAACGCCACATCTTTTTCTTTTTTATCCAAATAAAGCAGACTTTGTTCAAATTGTTCTTCGGCTCGGTAAACAGTGAGTCTTATCAGGGCCGGCAGCTGAAGCAGCACTTTTCAAACACACATCAACGCATTTCTGTCTGAAAGGTGCTGAAATAACTAAAGTGAGGCTTTAGCTGAGTCAGTGAAACAGTCGGGAAATTATTGGGAATCCTCACCTTCTCCAGCTGACTGTGGACGTGCTGAACGATCAAATCTAAAGCCACAAAGTTGTCTCCACCTGCAGGAAAACAAAGTTGAGCAAATGAAATCCGCAACTTTAACAGAGCCTGCAAATGCAGAAAAACGGTATAAATCAGAGTAAAAGTGACAGAAAACACAGAAAAACATCATTTTCTTCCTTCATAATTGCAGATTTTATTTCTAGCAGATCCTTACGGAGAATTAGCCTCGTGAGACCATCCTGATCTCGCGAGCTTTCGAGATTTCACTCGCTAATCAGTCTGGAGACTCTCCGTTGAAGAAAATTTGGAGCCGTTCACCAAACGAACGTCCAATCAGCGTTGGCTTTGAGGCGGGTTAAGGTGTGACGCAACGAGAATCGCGACAGTTCAGTCTAAAGAACATGGCGGCTTCAGCCGATGAAACTAGCGTTAGCGTGGCTAACGAGCAAGTTTTATCGGAATTACAGAGTATGAAGAGCAAAACACTGCTCTGGAGGCTTTTCTCAGAGGAAAAGATGTTTTTGCTCTTCTCCCGACTGGTTTCGGCAAGAGTAGCCTGGCTGTTAGTACGTCATATGCTTCGTTGATCTGACTGGTTTATTTGGACCGTCTATCACCAACATAGGCCAATCAGCTAACCAGGATTTTCACCCCTTCCCAAAATTACTTCAACGGAAGGTTTCCAGATGGATATGTGAAGCAAATCCATCTGACGGAGTCAGGTTAACGGAGAATAGCGTCAGTTTGAAACATTCCTACTAACCTCTGGGAACCACGATGTCGGCAACCTGCACCGTCGGCTCGATGTACTGCTCAAACGCTGGCTTCACAAACTTATTGTATTGTTTGATGATGCCGTTGATGTCGCGTCCACGCTGAGACACGTCCCTCTTCAGCCGGCGTATCAGCCGGATGTCTGAATCTGTGTCCACAAACACCTTCATGTCCAGAAGCTGCAGGAACAACAAACAGTTCTGTCAAGTTTACACTTTGATATTTCGAAATTTTTTCCAATTATTTCAAAGTTTATAATAATTTTACTGCTTATTGAGCAACTAGACCAAAACAAATCTGATTTATTTAAATAATGGATTCTTCATGTACGTCTTACTGGCATGTTTTCTACTAATCATGATTCCCACACAGAGGTGTCAATTAACAAAGTAGAAATACTTTGTTACTTTACTGAAGTAGAACTTTTGGCTATAAATTTAATGGTGTCATTATTTTTTACTTTTACTCTTTACATATTTTGGCAAATATCTACAGAAGAGGATTAGGGCCAGTGGGAAGAAAAAAAAAAAGTTTACTGATTTTAATTTTTTTTTTTCATTTTAGTATTGGAAAAAAAGTCAGAATTCTGACTTTTTTTCCTCAGAATTCTGACTTTTTTTTCCTCAGAATTCTGACTTTTTTCTCATAATTCTGACTTTAATCTCAGAATTCTGACTTTTTTCTCATAATTCTGACTTTAATCTCAGAATTCTGACTTTTTTTTCTCAGAATTCTGACTTTTTTCTCATAATTCTGACTTTTTTTTCCTCAGAATTCTGACTTTTTTTTCCTCAGAATTCTGACTTTTTTCTCATAATTCTGACTTTAATCTCATAATTCTGACTTTTTTTTCTCAGAATTCTGACTTTTTTCTCATAATTCTGACTTTTTTTTCTCAGAATTCTTCCTTTTTTCTCAGAATTCTGACTTTAATCTCAGAATTCTGACAGATAACAAACATGTTAGCATCAAGCCATAGCCATGTCTGTTTTAGAGACTAACTCTCTTGTTTAAATGACCTTGTGCTCCTCCATTAATGAGGGGACCCCTCGGGCACTTAAAAAGTTGCCTAATTCCGTCATTTTCCACCAATGTGTCACTGGCCCTCTCAAACAACTCACATCTTTGTCAGTGAAGCTGAGTGCTCCACATCTCTTCCTTCATGGTGCCCATCTACATAAAAATCCAATATTCTGAGAAAAAAGTCAGAATTCTGAGAAAAAAGTCAGAATTCTGACTTTTTTCCAATACTAAATTGAAATAAAACTTTAAAATCAGTAAACTTTTATTTTTTATTTTTCAGTGGCCCTAATCCTCTTCCGTAAATATCTATACTTTCTACTACTTATATTTTAAAAATAGACTCGTTAGTTTTGTTTCATTTAAGCTAATTTTCATTATGGCCTGTATGTCTTTTAAAAATAAAACCCCTCAAAATAATTTGTTTCATCCAGATAATTCATTTCTTTGTGGTTGGACTCGGTGCTGCCCCAACTTGTTGTTCACCACATAACAAAAGAAATAGCTTTTCAAGATGATGCAAAGTTAAATTTGACACTGTTACCATTTGTTATAAAACTAAGAAAAAATTATGTCTAAGAATTGTAGAAACATTGTCCTTCAATGGGGTAGTGCAGTAAAGTTTCTGTTCTTAACATTTTGTCCTCCATTACGTTTACTTTTATATTTTAAGTAGTTTTAATAGTGGTACTCTTGCAAGTTTAAATCTTAAGTTGATACTCTTACTTCTACAAGAGTTTTTTTTTTTTTTTTTTACAGTAGCCTAACCCTAACCCTACTTCTACTTGAGTCATAAACATTAATACTTTTAACACCTCTGTTCTTACAGTGCTAATTGGGAACATTGCTAGCTTCTTTTCTGCTTATAAAATAATAACACTGCAGTTAAATACTTTGTGTAAAATTTTAAACAGGTAAAGTTTAAAAACACCCAAAAAACTGTTCCTTTTTTTTTTTTTTTTCCAAACAGGCAAGTCAAAGTAAGTCGAAGGTCTTGCATCATATTAGCAATTGGACTTTGACTAGGCCATTTTAAAAGATGAATTTATTTTGAAACAAATAATCCAAACAAAGCTACAGTAGGATGTTTAGAGCAGTTTTTTCCAGTGGGAAGCTGAAGCTTTGTTTGTTTTTCCATTACAACAAAAGCAATTGAGAAATTAAACCATAAAATTTTCATTTCCAGCTTATTAAAAAAAAAAAAAAAAGGGTTTTGTATTTTTTCATACTTTTTCAAAACCAAAAATTTTCTCAAAATGTATATATATATATATATATATATATATACATACATAAATATTCTCCATTCTTGACGCGCACATCGGCCACAACATTTTTTTTGTAATTTTTGTAAACATCCATGCAAACCAATAGAAAATAATCTTTGCTCCTCACTCCAGAGGAAAGCCCGCCTCCAGATGAAGAGATAATATGATCCAAAAAAGGCAATTTGAAATTCAACCTTAAAAAAAGAAAAAAAAAAAAGGATCATACAAATCTGTAAAAAGAAATGATATAAAATTTGAAACAAAAAACATTTAAGAACACACATTTAGAGAAAATAATCAAGAAATATCTGAGAAAACAGCAAAGTTAATCTTAAAACTTTTCATTTTCGGCATTTTAATTTTCAAATGGTGTATTTTTTTTTATAAAACATGGTCTTTACTTGCAGCAACAATGGAACAAAACTCACTGCATATAAGCCAATGGTTCAGTTAAATTCATGTTGAAAATCCAGCTCTATATTTCTAATGAAATTCAAAGCTCCTTGCATCGTGCTCCCTGGACACGGCCTCCTAACCCAGACCTGTTTATTAGCTCAGCAGATTAGCAGCTATAATTGGCTTCAGTTACCAGAATGGACACAAAACACAATTAATCACAGAGGACAATGACTGTTACCGACTGAATAAGAGGGTAATCAGCAACACCGATGGGTCTCATGGGAGGCTGGCCGCCTTATCACTACAGCCCAGTGAACACATAAACGTGCAAACACCAAGAGGGTGGAAGAAACGATGCATAAGAGCAGGACGTATTTACCGCTGGGATCATCGTATGGATTTTTACTGACCGTAAACAACCTTTCAATAAAAGACAAATCAATTTCCTCTTTAATAGAATTTCTACTTTTCATAATAAAGAGTTTTCATTAAGCAGATTGAACTGATTCCTTACATGGACTTAAAGATAAGGATGTCAAAAGGTAAAAACAAACAAGAAACATCGGAAGGGATATATAAAAAAGAAAAAAAACCAGAAAAAAAGAAAAACAAAACTCACTTTTACTAAATTACAACTTAAATGTTGAATATTTGCAAGAATTAACAGATTAAAAAAGATCCCCAGGGCCTAAAGCTGTGAAATCAGCAGCCCTGGGGGGGTAACAGCTGCAATGAGCAGATTCTGCTATGATGGCGTTTCCCTGAGGGTCACAGATGCTGAAATTAAAACCAAAGCCTGAGAGAAAACAACAGCAAGAGAATAAAGAAGAAGAAATAGAAAGAGAAATAAAAACAACAAAATAATGGAAAGACTTAAAGGTCATTGCTGCAATTTCCTTCATCAAAACGATTCATTTTACAGAAATAAAACATCCAAAGAACATCTATGGTTGTGCAGAAATAAAGTATTATATAAAAACATAATATGCATTTAGTATTATTCTATTTGAACATATAAATGCAAAACAGAGCTCATGGGTTTGAATTTGCATGCAGTGTTTTGGTTGAAAGATGCTGTAATGAGATGAGGGCAAAGATTATTAAATGAGATAAACAACATAAAAATACCAAAAACAATCAAAAAGTGATTTCAGGCTTTAAAAGAAAACACATATAGCTGAATGTTGGTTCTCCTTCAGTGCATTTAATCGATTCACTGCCTATAATATGTCCAACATGCAAACAAATATGAAGGATTTACCTTGAAAAACAAATACAAATGAAATTCTCTTGCCTTTAGCAGCTCTTTGTTGGCGAACGCCAAGATGCCCTCGAAGATGACCACATTAGCTCCATAAACGGTTTTCTGCCACAGAAATAAATAAAAAAGAGGATTATAATGATGTGATCAGCATGAGGGTCCACACAGAAAAACAGATTTAATCTGAACGCAAAAAAACTGGAAAGGACGACCTGAGTGAAGTTGCCCCCCCCACCTTCTTCAAATCAGACAAAATTAGCGTCAAACTTTTGTGCTACGTTTGTGCAGCAAAAAATTTCGTTTGTGCTGCTATCGTTTTAAAGATATAAAGAAATATTTCTAGGTGTCTGACCTGAGTGAAGTTGGCCCCCCCATCTTCTTCAAATCAGACGAAATTAGTGTCAAACTTTTGTTCCATGTTTGTGCTGGTTTGTGCAGCAAAAATTTTTGTTTGTGCTGCTTTGGATTTAAAGATATTAATGAAAATGTAAAGGTCAAAAGGTCAACCAGCCCCCCCACCTTATTCAAATTAGACAAAATTAGTGTCAAACTTTTGTGCTACGTTTGTGCAGCAAAAATTTTCGTTTGTGCCGCTATCATTTTAAAGATATAAAGAAATATTTCTAGAGGTCATGAAAGGTCAACCAGCCCCCCCACCTTATTCAAATCAGACGAAATAGGTGTCAATTAACTCAGCTCCGTTTGTGCTGCTTTGGATTTAAAGATATTAATGAAAATGTAAAGGTCAAAAGGTCAACCAGCCCCCCCACCTTATTCAAATTAGACAAAATTAGTGTCAAACTTTTGTGCTACGTTTGTGCAGCAAAAATTTTCGTTTGTGCCCCTATCATTTTAAAGATATAAAGAAATATTTCTAGAGGTCATCAAAGGTCAACCAGCCCCCCCACCTTATTCAAATCAGACGAAATAGGTGTCAATTAACTCAGCTCCGTTTGTGCTGCTTTGGATTTAAAGATATTAATGAAAATGTAAAGGTCAAAAGGTCAACCAGCCCCCCCACCTTATTCAAATTAGACAAAATTAGTGTCAAACTTTTGTGCTACGTTTGTGCAGCAAAAATTTTCGTTTGTGCCGCTATCATTTTAAAGATATAAAGAAATATTTCTAGAGGTCATCAAAGGTCAACCAGCCCCCCCACCTTATTCAAATCAGACGAAATAGGTGTCAATTAACTCAGCTCCGTTTGTGCTGGTTTGTGCAGCAAAAATTTTCGTTTGTGCTGCTTTGGATTTGAAGATTTGAAGAAAGTGGGTGGGCTGGTTGACCTTTGATGACCTCTAGAAACATGTCTTTATATCTTTAAAATGAAAGCGGCACAAACAAAACATTTTTGCTGCACATAGGAGCACAAACGTTTGACACCAATTTTGTCTAATTTGAATAAGGTGGGGGGGCTGGTTGACCTTTTGATCTTTACATTTTCATTAATATCTTCAAAGCCAAAGCAGCACAAACGCCAATTTTTGCTGCACAAACCAGCACAAACGGAGCTGAGTTAATTGACACCCATTCGTCTGATTTTAAGAAGGTAGGGGGACTGGTTGACCTTTGATGACCTCTAGAAATATTTCTTTACATCTTTAAAACGATAGCGGCACAAACGAAAATTTTTGCTGCACAAACCAGCACAAACGTTTGACACCAATTTTGTCTGATTTGAAGAAGGTGGGGGGGCCAACTTCACTCAGGTGAAAGGACGACGTCTTTATCCTAAAATATATTCAAAGTAAGGCTGCAAATAAACATTATTTTGATAAAGGCTTCATATGTTGACCATTCTTTCATTTAACCCAGAACCATCAGACAGGAAAAACTGCTTAACGGGAGATTTTTTAGTTTTTATAGAATTTAAACAAGGTGATGAAAATGATGCTACTTGAATTCTGGATAGAACATATTCACAAAAAAAGAGGATTATTCCTGCTCTATCAAAGGTATATTTTCTTTACCATTTTGGCTCGTTAAAAGTTGTCAGTGGGATGTTCTTTCAGGAAACGGCCCGTTTTAGTGTCTTTACTGCAGTAAATGATAAGTCGATTACTGAATTATGTGATTATTATTTCAATAATTAATCAAACCTGGGGTTTTTTTTTTACCCCTTTTGAAGCTAAGCTTTTCTGAAGTATTAAAAATCTCTGCATTTATAGCGATGGTCGTTAATGTTACACAAGTCCGGAAAAGATCCAGAACCCCTGCTGTAGATCCCACCCATCCAGACTCTGAGTTGTTGGACTCACTTTTCAGTAAAATGATTCAGGAAATTCACATCGACAACAAACAAGCTTGAAACTGTTTTATTCCCAAAGATGTGAAGCAATCCCCCACTGTAGACGCAGCATAGTCAATTTCATGACTAGTATCCTAGTTTAGGGGGAGTGTTGGCCTAGTGGTTAGAGCAGTGAGCTTGAGGTCTGAGAAGGTTGCAAGTAACTGGTTTGAATGCCACTGCTTCCACTCTGGGCTCCTGAGCAAGACCCTTAACCCTTGATTGCTCCCCGGGCGCCACACAATGGCAGCCCACTGCTCTCCAAAGGGGACGGGTCAAATGCAGAGGTAAATTTCTCCAATGTCAGATCCATCCATCCATCCATCCATCCATCCATCCATCCATCCATCCATCCATCCATCCATCCATCCATCCATCCATTTCTGTCACGAATATCCCAAGCAGGGTTGCGATGGGTGCTGGTGCATTATAACCAGCTGTAAATATTTATATATTTTTAACCCATCAGGATTTATAAAGTATTTATATATTAAATATCCATCCTTTTTTCATTCATCCATCCATTTTTCATCACGCTTTATCCCTGTTGGATTCGCGAGGGGTGCTGGTGCCCATCTCCAGCTGTCTACAGGCGAGATCCACCTTGTTTGTCCAACGGACAAACAACCTTTCTCGCACAGAACCACACCTTAGGGGAATTTAGAAAAGCCAATTAACCTAACAGTCATGTTTTTTGGACTGTGGGAGGAAGCCGGAGTACCCGGAGAGAACCCACGCATGCTCAAAGAGAACAAACTCTATGCAGAAATGACAAAATGACAAGCTGCAAAAAAGTTTAATTATTATCAGTTATTAAAATCGTAGGCTAAGCTAACTTCCTGTAAATAAATCCCACTACTCCACCTGTGTACATATTTTCATACTTGCTCTAGGGATGCTATTTGGCTGAGGTTTAAAGACAAGAAAATTACTAAAAATGTTGAAGGAAAGGAGAAAACATTGGGGAGAACAAAACAAACGAGGAGCTCGGAGACTTTATGTTCACTCTGGGCCAAAATCTCTGCCTTTTTTAAAATCTGCTTCATTTTAAAGGTGAATGGGATGAATGCACCTGCATTGATTCAGCACAGCAGAGCAGAGAGGGGGAAAGTTGGTTGTGGAGCGAGAGCACAAATTTTAACAAACACGGGGGTGTGTATTGATTTTTCAATGATCTGGATTCACCTCAACATGTTTGAGCATCGTTTAAAATAAACGGAAAAAGAAACTCCAGTTTTACCAGATAGAAGTAAAGAAAAACCCTAAAAAAAGCTGTAAATCATCACCATTCGGGATGCGAGGGGACACACCAACGTATATACAGTAAACCAGGCTGCAGCTACAGCAGATGGACCTTCTGGGGCCAACGCTTCCAGGCTGCGACACTTAATTACATTCATCAGAGTACAAAAGGCCATAAAATGATTCCAGAGTCGTAGGCCGAGATGGGCGATTTCCCATGAGGTGTTGTTCCATTCAGCCATGAAATTACATCGCAAAGAAATAAAGAGATGTCAGAGAGCTACACATAAAGACGGATTCCTCAGAATGGCTTTAGCTGGAGATTTGTCTACATGGTGTGTGCTTATCGATGTGGAATACAAAGCTTTTACTGTTATCAAATTAGCAGGAATCTAAATTAGAAACAGCTAATATAAATTATTTTAACTGCAGCAGTAATAATAACCTGGACATTAGGTTTTCATTTGATAAAAGGAAACCTTCAAAACCTTTTTTTTTTCTTAAAAAACAAAACAAGAATCCCAAATAAAAACACTTTCTCACCCATTCCTTGCGTCTGCTGTGGTTGGTGAAGTCATAAACAGGAACTTTGATGCTTTTCCCCTTCTTCAGCTTCCTGAGGACGGTGATCAGCAGCTCAAAGTCGAAGGCATCGGGGTGATCAAAGTTATACTCATTTTTAGCAGCAAGCTCCTGCTCTTCTTTATTTAACACCTGAGACACAAAAAACCAGCGATCAGCGACGATGATATGCTACATGGGTTCAAGTCCACTTAGGAAGGATGGAGAGACGGAACGTATATAGAGACAGATTGTTAAAAAGAAAATAAAAGCCCATGCTGGCTGTGCCCAGGTAGCACCATCACTGGTAGATAGAACTAGCCTCGTGAGACCATCCTGATCTCGCGAGCTTTCAAGGTTTCACTCGTAGATCAGTTTGGAGACTCTCTGTTGAAGAAAATTTGGAGCAGTTCACCAAACGAACGTCCAATCAGCGTTGGCTTTGAGGCGGGTTGAGGTGTGTCGCAACGAGAAGCTTGACAGTTCAGTATAAAGAACATGGCGGCTTCAGCCGATGAAACTAGCGTTAGCGTGGCTATCGAGCAAGTTTTATCGGAATTCCAGAGTATTTCTTCACTGAAAGAAGAGCAAAACACTGCTCTGGAGGCTTTTCTCAGAGGAAAAGATGTTTTTGCTTTTTTCCCGACTGGTTTCGCCAAGAGTAGCCTGGCTGTTAGTACATCATATGCTTTGTTGATCTGATTGGTTTATTTGGCCCATCTATCACCAACATAGGCCAATCAGCTAACCAGTTTTTTCACCCCTTCCCAAAATTACTTCAACGGAAGGTTTCCAGATGGATATGCAGAGCAAATCCATCTGGCAGAGTCAGGTTAAGATAGAAGCGGTTTCTGCATCTTCTTTTTCACCTGTGATGTCCGTTATTACAACTATAAAGTTTTTATAGCGTGGGAAAGGAGCAGCCAAGGATCTTTTATAAATAAAGATGAATGCTGTGCAGCTGCTATACAAGAAACACCAGCCATCAATTGGCTTTTTATTTTTATTTTCTTTATTGTAGAAGTTTAGACCTCATTAACTTCAACTCTCCCAAAATTACATTATTTCAGCTTTACTACTTCAAAATATCTTCTTTATGAATACTGCAGGGTTTCTGCTATATCTAACTGATCAGCCACAGCAAAATAAAAGTTGCCACATCTGCAGCATAAATAAGAACAATACATATGAAAACTTTATGCATTTGATTAGGGCTGCAACAATTAATCGGATAAATCAAATTTTGCAATAATTGTCAACTAATTTGGTTAATTGTTAACTGCAGTATAGAGACTCTAAAACATGTCTTTAGATGACAGAGGGACCCACTTAGCGCAGTAATTATATCAAAACTGTAAAACAATATATAAACACTTTCCATATAAGGTAGAAATGTCTGTCTATATGCTCTATCCAGAACTCCTTAAGTTGAAAAGTTTTTGTTTTACCTGGTTTCATTTAATAACAAATCTTATTTAAGAAACCTTTTGCTATTTGACGATTAATCGATTAATCGGATGTTTAATGTTTAATCGACAGATTAATCAATTTTTAAAATAAACGTAAAATAATTATTTTGCTAATTGATTAATCTGCCCAATATTTTTTCAATTAATAATCAGATAACAAAAGGTTCCTTAAAGAAGTTTTTTACCAAATGAAATCAGGGAAAGTAAAACTTTTCCCATTGCTGGGTTCTGGATAGATAAATTTTTTTTTACATATTATTTTTTTTTTTTTTAACAATCTTGGTATAATTACTACTCTAAGTGGGTTGCTGTGTCAACTAAAAGCAGATTTTATCGATTAATCACTAGTAATCAGATTAATTGTTTCAGTGCTACATTAGATATAGCATAAAGCTACTTTATTTTGAAAAACCAACACCACTAGCTCATGTGAAGTTGGATATTGGCCAGCTCATTTATATAAAACTGTCGGAACCGTTCAGTTCGACTGTCTCGGTTCGATTCGCCTGTGTTGCGTTCGGTTCATGCGCTGCTCCTTTTTCTCATAGGCGAAGCGTTTACACTCCAGACCAGAAGGTGGCGGTACTGCGACCAAAGCCAACCACCAGTAGTAAACAAGAAGAAGAAGAAGCGAAGCAGCGTAGCCGGGTGTAGCAGAAAAAAAATCAGTTGAGGAGAATTGTGTGGGTATGGCGAGTGGGAAAGAACAGGAGTTGGAAGACGCGCCAGCAGCACTTTATAGGTCTGCTGTATGGGACCACTTTGCATTTACGATGACGGCGGAAAGAAAGTTGTGGATAAAAGTGAAACAGTGTGCAAGCATTGTGCAACACGTTTTGTTTATGTTAACAGCAACATGACCATCATGTCATGCTAACCCCGAAATCCCACATACTCCGTCAGCGCTCCGCCCCGCTGCGCTCCAGACCGCCTGCACAAAGCAAAGCCTCCAGCCTCCGCTGTGGCTCCAGTCCGCTCCGCTCTGAGTTCCTTGGAGATGGTAGAGGGCATGCGCGAGATGATTAAATTCAAAGCAGCAAAACATGCGGAAATGATTCATGGTTTCCGCGGATCATTAAAAATAATTACAATTCATTATTTATTTTTTTCCATTAATTTCATTCATTTTTATTTTTCCATTAATTTTTATAAAAATTTTTATTTTTCGGTGTAACAATAAACATATACCGAACCAAACCGTGGATTTTGTGAACCGTTCCACCCCTAATATATACATATATAAAATATATTACGTACCTTTATATATATTTGATATATATATATATATATATATATATATATGAGATGAAAATACTTTGTCATCTTTACTGTCGACAGGTTGCAGCCAGCCACTTTTGTTGAAATTTGCATTTTCCCATTCTCTACATTTTTCACGCCTCAAGCTTCTTTTCCTAACTTATGGCTTTACGATAAACTGGAAGCAGTTCTGTGCAAATATGTCGCAATATAATATATCTGACAAAATGGTTTTTATGAAAGTGTTTTCTTCTTTAGATAAAGCATTTCCAACAATCACATTTAAAGCTACAGTGTGTAATTTTTAGCGACATCTAACAAGTTGTATTTTATGACAACTCCGAAATGAAGCACTTTCTTGCCTAAAATGAGAAATGTGGAGCATCATGTGAAGTTATACTTTGGTTCTGGTTTCACAAATAAGGAAATCTTTTAGCACCAGCATCAAATTGGGCAGGATGTCTAAGTGGACTCAGGTTGTTGTTTGGTGCTGCTGGTCGGCCATTATCTGCTGGTCGAAGCTCAAAGCTTTCTTTCTGAAAAGGGTTCTGGTATAACGACTTTATTCTCGTAACATTACGTCTTTATTCTCGCAATATTATAACTTTACTCTCATAATGTTACAACTTTATTGTCAAAATAAAAAAATCTCTAGCCTGGACCTAATACTCCGTCGAGAATAAAGTCGTAACGAGAAGAGTAATAAAATTACACGAATAAGTTAATAAAATTAAAAGAATAACATCTTTAAATTATGAGAATAAAGTGGCAACGAGAATAAAGTCGTAACATTACGAGAATAAAGTCGTAAAATTACGACAAAAAAGTCACAATGAGAATAGTCATAAAATTACGAGAATAAAGTCATAATATTAAAGCTACAGTGTGTAATTTTCAGCGACATCTAACGTCCAGACTGCAGACCGCAGCAACATGAACATCTCCCCCCCACCGCTTCTCCCCCCCAACAGTACGGCGAGCGTTACAGGACAAAATGTCTTCCACGACGTCCGCATCACCTACCTTCTCAAGTGATGAGGTTTGTTTACATAGATAATTTTACAGATAGTATTCTCAGGCATAATACTGCCATCTATTGTTCAGTACCGTCTCAGTTCATCTCTCTCAACTTGCCGTAGTTACTTTCGAGCGTAATGGGCGATCTCGCAATCGCTAGTTTGTTGGCTCTGCGCTGCCGTAGCGCAAAGATGTCTGCCTCCATGGCTGCGGGACCCGCTCCTATGTAATTATAAATAACGAATTCTAAGGCAACGCAAATATTAAGGTTAAGAGGCTGAGCTTGTAGATGATGATAAATAACATAGTTATGTATAATATATTACATTTCTGACTGTATATCCCTGTAATTATTACACACTGTAGCTTTAATTAATTTTAATGGCAATTAAGGTCTTTATTTAAAACATTTTTACAATTTAATGATTTTTAATGACCTGCGGAAACCCTGTCTATTTGGAGACTTTACAAACCCTTTTAGAAAATGTTTTTTTCGAACAAGAGACAAATTTAGTGACTTTTCTCTGTTTTTTTCAAAAGTTTACCAACTTCTTGTAAAACCAGCAAAGCTAATTTTAGTCTCACAACAGCAACAAGCGCTGTTCTAAGCGTCGTCTCTGACACAAGCAGCCGATTGTCCTGAAAAGATTTTTTTCCTTTTAGCAGCACTGGCCGATACGTGCATGTGTTCCCCGATTTCATAGTGCACTTAGCAGCCTACATTAAGATCACATGAAGCGCATGCATTGTAGATCTCTCAGTTTGCTTTCGATTGTTAATGTTTCTTTTTACTAAAATTCAGAAGTTTTAACATTGTGCTCAATTTTTATTATATAAATGGGGGAAGAAAAAATAATGCCTGCCTACAGACCTGCATTGGCCTTAAGGAAATCTGTATCAGTCCATCGCTATTTGTCGCTTTTAGTCGCATATTAAAGGGTTATATATTTTTTCAATTTAGTGTTTGAAGCAAGTAATAAAAGAGAAAAAAGGCAACGCTTTTAATCCATCATGCTGAAATCATCTAATGGGAGGGTCTGGTGGGTTGATCAATACAGTGGAAGATGATTCATGACAGCATTTTGTTTTTAGATCAAACACTAATGAACCATTTATTGAGTTATTGGATGCCTTTTATTGCTTTGAATGAATCTGCAAATTTACTGCTAAAATGCTTTGAATCAAACGATTTAACTACAGAGTTTAATTACCTTGTAAAAGGAGTCCATTGAAAGCAGAACCACCCAGGGAACATCTAGTGCTTCAATTATCTTATTGGCCACTGTGGTTTTTCCAGAGGCACTTCCTCCACACAGGCCTGCAGAAGCATTAAAGGGAAAAACAGCTTTAATTAATGAAGACAAATGTACATTCCCACTGCTATCAGAAAAATGCTAGACTAGTTTAAGGTCTACATAAATAAAAATACTTTTAAGAACCACTTCTCTAGGGTAATATTTGCTCCTTCACTTTGTGCTACAAAACACAAAATGTATCCAATAAAGTGGTAAAAGAGCCAAGATATGACAAGCTGCTATAATACTATGATTTTCAGAGGTTCAGCACTTTCTCATTTGAGTGTCCATATACTTGTGATGTTCTTATATCCTGCTTAGCCTAACCTGACATTAGCCAGACTGATACTTGTAGAACTGAGCCGGTTTCTACGTTATCATGGATTTCTTGTGAGACTGAAAACTCAGATCTCGTGACAATTCAGCTTGAAGCGCAAGGTTATGCTTAGCCAAGTACAGAGAGACGAACATGTCTAAAACAGTGTTTGATCAACTGAAAGGCAAATTTAAGAAAAAAAATTAACTTTAAGAAATAGGATTGGGCTCAATTAGAAAAGAGGCTGAAAAGAATGAAGATATTGTTGAAGAAGAGATAAAACATTTTTTCACTTTAGTAAAATACTATAAACAGGGTGTGAAAAACTGGGTGTGGGTACATGGCATTAAAGAGACAAATAACCTTTTAACTTCCAGAGTTTAAGGAAACCACAGAAAGACACGTTGTGTGAAAAAGTACGACGGAGTATCAGGGCCAGGCTAGAGATTTTTTGGTCTTCTATTACGAGAATAAAGTCGCAACTAGAATAAAGTTGTAAAATTACGAGAATAAAGTTGTAAAATTGCAAGAATAAAGTTGTAAAATTGCAAGAATAAAGTCATAAAATTACGAGAATAAAGTCGCAACGAGAAGAGTCATAAAATTATGAGAATAAAATCCTAAAATTACGAGAATAAAGTCGCAACGAGAATAAAGTTGTAAAATTACGAGAATAAAGTCGTAAAATTAAAAAGTAGCAGCGAGAAGAGTAATAAAATTATAAGAATAACGTCGTAACATTATGAGATTAAAGTAATAAAATTACGAGAAAAAAAATCATAAAATTCCGACAATAAAATTGTAAAATTACAAGAATAAAGTTGTAAATTTATCAGGTTAAAGTCGTAAGACTACGAGAATAAAGTCATAAAATTCAGAGAATAAAGTCATAATATTACGAGAAAAAAGTCCCAACTAGAATAGTCATAAAATTACAAGAAACAAGTTGTATTTTATGACAACTCCGAAATGAAGCACTTTCTTGCCTAAAATGAGAAATGTGGAGCATCATGTGAAGTTATACTTTGGTTCTGGTTTCACAAATAAGGAAATCTTTTAGCACCAGCATCAAATTGGGCAGGATGTCTAAGTGGACTCAGGTTGTTGTTTGGTGCTGCTGGTCGGCCATTATCTGCTGGTCGAAGCTCAAAGCTTTCTTTCTGAAAAGGGTTCTGGTATAACGACTTTATTCTCGTAACATTACGTCTTTATTCTCGCAATATTATAACTTTACTCTCATAATGTTACAACTTTATTGTCAAAATAAAAAAATCTCTAGCCTGGACCTAATACTCCGTCGAGAATAAAGTCGTAACGAGAAGAGTAATAAAATTACACGAATAAGTTAATAAAATTAAAAGAATAACATCTTTAAATTATGAGAATAAAGTGGCAACGAGAATAAAGTCGTAACATTACGAGAATAAAGTCGTAAAATTACGACAAAAAAGTCACAATGAGAATAGTCATAAAATTACGAGAATAAAGTCATAATATTAAAGCTACAGTGTGTAATTTTCAGCGACATCTAACGTCCAGACTGCAGACCGCAGCAACATGAACATCTCCCCCCCACCGCTTCTCCCCCCCAACAGTACGGCGAGCGTTACGGGACAAAATGTCTTCCACGACGTCTGCATCACCTACCTTCTCAAGTGATGAGGTTTGTTTACATAGATAATTTTACAGATAGTATTTCATGAGTCTGTGTGTTCAGTACCGTCTCAGTTCTCTCTCAACTTGCCGTAGTTACTTTCGAGCGTAATGGGCGATCTCGCAATCGCTAGTTTGTTGGCTCTGCGCTGCCGTAGCGCAAAGATGTCTGCCTCCATGGCTGCGAGACCCGCTCCTATGTAATTATAAATAACGAATTCTAAGGCAACGCAAATATTAAGGTTAAGAGGCTGAGCTCGTAGATGATGATAAATAACATAGTTATGTATAATATATTACATTTCTGACTGTATATCCCTGTAATTATTACACACTGTAGCTTTAAGAGAATAAATTCCTAAAATTACAAATTGTATTTTATTACAACTCTAAAATGAAGCACTTTCTTCCCTAAAATGAGGAATGTGGAGCATCGTGTGAAGTTATACTTTGGCTCGGGTTTCACAAATAAGGAAATCTTTTAGCACCAGCATCAATTTGGGCAAGAGGTCAAAGTGGACTCAGGTTGCCGATTGGTGGAACAGGTCGGCCATCATCTGGTGGTCGGAGCTTGAAGCTTTCTTTCTGAAACTGGTTGTGGTATATAACTTCATTCTCGTAATGTTATGACTTTATTCTAATAATGTTACAAATTTATTCTCAAAATAAAAATAGAAAAATCTCTAGCCTGGAACTAATACTCTTTCGTAAAAAGTTATTCAATTATTGACTCCATTTAAATAAACATAGATCCATGGATTTCACACAGTCTGCACTTTTTTTTTTTTACTTTGTAAAATAAAAGGTAACAAGACAATCAAACAGCCCTCACAGTGGGATGTTCTGTTCTGGTCTAGACAGTGTTTGTCTCTCACTAATTAAAACCCTGCAGAAAGGCTGTGAAGGTCTCCACCTATTGTTACCCCCCAAAAAACACAGACAGTTGGAAAAAAAACACATAACTTAGTGAAATAATCCCTAAGAAACAGTCTAGCTTGCATGAGAACCATTCATTTTATCCCAAACCCTCCCTAATAGAATAAACAACCCACTCTCTCTTAGACACCTTGTAGCCCTGCAGCTCTGAGGCCTGAAAGAATAAAACTCAGCACAAATGATCAATATATCTAAAAAGGGAATTAATAGGGGATAGATTTTTTCCCACCACATGCATCTGACGAATATTCCAGGAACATTGCCAGCACTACTTAACAAGTGGCATGGAGGAGGGAGGATAGATGCCTTTTCTTCTCCAGCTCTACCTGTTAGTTGGCATGTGTGTGCAGGAAGAAAAATGGCTTACCGAGCTACTGGTGAGATATAAACTACTCTGAATGAAGCTCTGGAAGGGCCCTACAACCCGATAACAACCACCCACAGTAAACATGCTGACTGGAGGAGGAAATAATGTAATATAGGACCACTCATTTATGTTTAATAACAGCAGTGGAGATGTTTCAGAAGCTCTTCTACCTTTAGATTTAGCCTAAAGATGTTTTAATGTCATGCAGAAGAGAAACCTGCTGCAGTAAATGAAATTAAATGTAATTTTCCCCCCAATTTGCCTTAACCACTAGTTATCTACCACTTAATTATCCCCTTTTTAAGGGTAAATATTCTCATTATATGGGCAGATCATCTTATTTAGCTTTACTTTACAACCTCTAACAGGAAGTTAACATTTTATATCCATTTCCTGTCCTAATCTGTTGTTTTTATATTCTTGCCATTATATTGTTTTCATCATAGTTCTTCTCAATCTTGCACAAATGTTATTGCATCTTCTTTAGCCCTGATTTGACCAGTTTTTCACCTTTCCTTTAAAGTAGTACAGTCGTGTGTGAAATTAGGACTAGTTACTTCGGTTCATTGGCCATAACAGATTGGATACTGAGGATAATGTCCACCTCTCCTTCCACGTATCCGCTCAGCCTGATGAGTTTATCCACGCCACAGTGATTCCACTGATGTCAAACATGCACTCATGGAGCTCACTCTACAGCTGCTGGAAAACTTCCTGACTCTGACATTTGATTATGAGGGTCAGACCGGGGCTGGGAAATTAATTACATTTGCAATATAATCATAATTTAACAAAACAGTTTTCAAACTGCACAGACATTCTTAAAGGAGATAAGTTTAACTCATCCAGGGCAGCAGGTGACACATTCGCCAGCTCTCATTTTGAATTATTTAGTAGCAGACTGCCATGTCTGCTAATGCGAATGGTTAGCATTAGGATAACTTTACAGTGGGACGTACAATATTTAATCAGCCACAGATTGTGCAAGTTGTCCTACTTAGAAAGTTGAGAGGTCTGGAATTTTTTATTACTTCAACTATGAGAAAGAAAATAAGAAAATCCCAGCAAATCACTTTTTTTTTTAAATAAATTATGATGGGAAATAAGTATTTCGTTAATAACAAGATTTCAAGTCAACTTTTGTAGTATAACATTTATTAGCAGTGACAGAGTTCAAACATTTCCTGTCGTTCTTGCTCACAGTTTCTGGTATTTTGGTCCATTCCTCCATCAGATCTCCTTTAGAGCAGTGGTGTTATTGGGCTGTTGCTGGGCAACACAGACTTTCAACTCCCTCCAGAAATGTTCTATGGGTTTAGGTTTGCAGATTGGCAAGGCCATCCAGGACCTTAAAATGCCTTTTTACTCTTTTGTTATCTACAGGTGCTGGTCATAAAATTAGAATATCATGAAAAAGTAGATTGATTTCAGTAATTCCATTTAAAAAGTGAAACTTGTATATTATATTCATACATTACATACAAACTCATATATTTCAGATGTTTATTTTGTTTAATTTTGATGATTACAAATGACAACAAATGAAAATCTCAAATTCATCATATCAGAAAATTAGAATATTACTGAAGACCAATAAAAACAAAGGATTTATAGAAATGTTGGCCAACTGAAAAGTATGAACATGAAAAGTATGAGCATGTACAGCACTCAGTATTTAGTTGGGCCTCCTTTGGCCTGTATTACTGCAGCAATGCGGCGTGGCATGGAGTCGATCAGTCTGTGGCACTGCTCAGGTGTTATGATAGCCCAGGTTGCTCTAATAGTGGCTTTTAGCTCTTCTGAATTGTTGGGTCTGGTGTATTGCATCTTCTTCTTCACAATACCCCATAGATTTTCTATGGGGTTAAGGTCAGGAGAGTTTGCTGGCCAATTAAGAACAGGGATACCATGGTCCTTCAACCAGGTACTGGTAGCTTTGGCACTGTGTGCAGGTGCCAAGTCCTGTTGGAAAATGAAATCTGCATCTCCAAAAAGTTGGTCAGCTGCAGGAAGCATGAAGTGCTCTAAAACTTCCTGGTATGTGGCTGCGTTGACCCTGGACCTCAGAAAACACAATGGACCAACACCAGCAGATGACATGGCACCCCAAACCATCACTGACTGTGGAAACTTTACACTGGACTTCAAGCAACGTGGATGAAGTGCCTCTCTTCTTTTCCTCCAGACTCTGGGACCTTGATTTCCAAAGGAAATGCAAAATTTACTTTCATCAGAGAACATGACTTTGGACCACTCACCAGCAGTCCAGTCCTGTTTCTCTTTAGCCCAGGCAAGACGCTTCTGACGCTGTCTGTGGTTCAAGAGTGGCTTGACACAAGGAATGCGACAGCAGAAACCCATGTCTTTCATACGTCTGTGTGTGGTGGTTCTTGAAGCACTCACTCCAGCTGCAGTCCACTCTTTGTGAATCTCCCCCACATTTTTGAATGGGTTTTGTTTCACAATCCTCTCCAGGGTGCGGTTATCTCTCTTGCTTGTACACTTTTTTCGACCACATCTTTTCCTTCCCTTCGCCTCTCTATTAATGTGCTTGGACACTGAGCTCTGTGAACAGCCAGCCTCTTTAGCGATGACCTTTTGTGTCTTGCCCTCCTTGTGCAAGGTGTCGATGGTCGTCTTTTGGACAACTGTCAAGTCAGCAGTCTTCCCCATGATTGTGTAGCCTATAGAACTAGACTGAAAGACCATTTAAAGGCTTTTGCAGGTGGTTTGAGTTAATTAGCTGATTAGAGTGTGGCACCAGGGGCCATCAATTTTTAACCTTTTCACAATATTCTAATTTTCTGATATGATGAATTTGAGATTTTCATTTGTTGTCATTTGTAATCATCAAAATTAAACAAAATAAACATCTGAAATATATGAGTTTGTATGTAATGTATGAATATAATATACAAGTTTCACTTTTTAAATGGAATTACTGAAATCAATCTACTTTTTCATGATATTCTAATTTTATGACCAGCACCTGTAAGTGGGGGGTTTTGGACCCTTATCACGCTGGAAGACCCAGTCACTTCCATCTTTAATGCTCTTTGAATGAAGAAGGTTTGGGGTGAACATCTCTCCATATGTGGCTTTTTTACTCATCCCTTTAAATGGATCGGTTGTCGGTACTTTGCAGAAAAGCAGCCCAAAAGCATGATTTGTTTTGTTTATTTAGCATGAACTTGAAAGCTGGGAAGAAGCCCTTTCTCAGCTCGTCACTGAGTTACTAGGATCTGGCAACGCCTGAGCTCAATGTCACGTGACCTCAACCTAATATTCCTATTGGTTTAGTATTCTTTAATGTCAGCACCAGCATCATAGCCAGCTGTAAATATTTATATATTCTTAATCCATCAGGATTTATATAACAAGTATTTATACATCATATATCCATCCATTTTCAATCACGCTTTATCCCTACTGGGGTCGCGAGGGTTGCTGGTGCCTATCTCCGGCTGTCTACAGGCGAGAGGCGAGGTCCGCCCTGGACAGGTCGGCAGTCTATTGCAGGGCAACATAGAAACAAACAGGACAAACAACCATTCACACACTCACACCTAAGGGGAATTTAGAGAAGCCTATTAACCTAACAGTCAAGTTTTTGGACTGTGGAAGGAAGCCGGAGTGCCTGGAGAGAACCCATGCATGCAAAGGGAGAACATGCAAACTCCATGCAGAAAGACACCGGGCCGGGAATCGAACTCAGAATCTTGCTACAAGGTGGCAGTGCTACCCACTGCTTTATTGAGCAGCCCATATATATTATATATCTTTTCAGTAAAATGATTCCTATTGTTCTGCACCACAAATCAGTTGGTTTGATGAAACAGTTATGACCTTTACTTTGACACTGACTTTTTCCTCCAACGTTTTAAGCGGAGACATTGCTGCCATACAGAAGGGAGGAGAGAGTCGTAGCTAGTCTACAGATAAAGGTATGCAAGTAGAAGGAAGTACTTTTCCATGAAACAGTAAATTCCTGTGACAATAGACTCAAGACAAGCAAGCCTTTAAAGTCATGAAAACAATTAAACACTGGAGGGAAACATCTACATATTTGTGGTTGGTGCAAAGAACGAAAAAAAAAATCAAAACAATACTGCAATCCTAATATCAGTTAAATAAAAATAATACATTTCATTTTGGGAAAAAAAAAAAAATCAGTAGCTCAGACAGATTAAACCTAAAAAAGATGAGTTGCCATAAATTCTCTGATTAACATGATAGTTTAACAAACGCATAAACGCCTTGTAAAAACAAGACAACCAAAACAACGGAAATCAAGTTATTTTGTAAAAATGTTATTTGTAATTTTTGGTAATTAGATTTGATCAAACTCTTCATAGCAACAAAAACCACCACCACATAAACTAAGGCGGAAAGGCTCAAGATTGGCGTCTGTCTCCATAAACTTAGACATCTCGTTTATCAAGGGGGCAGGATTGTTGTGGAGGAAGGTTCTTGTGGTTTTTGGTCATGCCGATGTCTCGGAAGCATCTTGCTAACCAGTTAGCAACTTCAGCTATGCTCACACTGCAAACCTTAATGCTCAATCCGATTTTTTGGTGAAATACAATTTTTTTGCGTTGCTGTTCATATTTCCAAACATATGCAACTTGTATGTGATCTCCTGTGTGACCTGCATTCATACAACCTAAATGTCGTGCATGTGCAGTAGAGGACGCAATGACGTCACAAGCAAGCGTGCTCCGCGTTTACGTAAGTAAACATGGATGGTAGTACTCGAGAACATCGATCGAACCTTTAAAAACTCAATCTTTCCAAGATGGTTAAACATAAATACTGCTCTCCGCATCATCGTCCACCATTGTTGTTGTTGTTTTTCTTGCAACTTCTGCGTAGCAAAAAACAGAAAAGTGACCACTGTCCGGTATTAATGACATTCAGGTCGGATAAATGCGACCTGGCTGTTCAGACATAGGTCCCATCTGAAAAGATCAAATTCATATCGGATTCAGGACCGCATAGCCAAGTGGCCTGGGTCGCATTGGAAAAAAAGTATCTGTTTTGTTCAGACTATCATGAAAAGATCAGATACAGGTCACATATGAGCAAAAAAAATCGGATTAAGGTCACTTCAGACTGCAGTGCGAATGTAGCCTTAGTGCTAGTAGGTTCCCAATGGGAGATTACTATGGGACCAAGTAGCACCTAGCAACGACACTGTCAAGGAACGCTATGGACAGCGGAAACATGCAAGAGGAGGAGAGTTTAGTGTCGGAGGTCGTGGATGAGTTTCCTCCATCATACATTTTTTATTTAGAGGAGGAAAGTGGTGACGAAGATGTTGTGGAAGAGGACGCCAGGGCGGCAGAAGCTTGGTTTGGTGTAGAAGGCTTCCAGCCGTACATGTTTGAGCCCTTGCTTCGCAACGCTGCCAGTTCTGTTAGCTCTACGCCTGCAGAAGACACAGACGTCCATCCCCGTGAACACTGGGACGGAACTCGATGGGAAAGGAAAGGATTCTGATTTCTTATTTCAACCGCTGCATATATTAGCTGCAGCATATGAATCAGAATGCTATGAACGAAAAAATGTGATTGACAGATGACCGTTGATATGTGATTGGCCGAATTTAGGTGTACAAGCTGACGTATAACTAACTGGTCTGCATAAAGATAATGGAAAAAAAAAATCAGATTTTAAGACAGAATTTTTTTAAATAGAATTTTCCTAACTTTTGGGACAATATGGGCTGATAAAGAGCACATTTATATACATGTTTAAGTCAGAATGATTTGACATTTAAATATGACTTGCCTACGACTTTAAAAAATATCAGCCTTATAAAATAAAAAAAATATATAGATAAGGGTGTAAATTATCAATTTCAAATAGATTCAAATATGTATTTAGTAATGATTATAGGAGTTAGAAAATAAGAACGGTTTTGATAATATGTTTATAATAACCTAAACCAGGTGTCTGCAACCTTTAAAATCCAAATAGCTATTTTGTTCTGAATGCAGCTCAATAAAAGTCTAAAATCTCACATGATCCTTAGATAAAAAACGATTCATTTTTGTTAAATACCTGCTACAGGAGATGTGTTTCCAGTTAAAAGAACCAACAAATCATTTGTATTTTTAGGTCTTAGAAGAATAAAAAACAGCCTTTTCATAAAGAGGAATCATGTATTTTCTGGATCTTTATCTCTGGTTATCTGAAACTAAAGAACATAGATCCCAAGCTGATGATAAAAAAAATAAGATTTAAAAAAATATTATTGGTTCACTTTTTTTTTCTGTTGTTTTAGTTAAAATAGTTAAAGCCTCTAAAACGGGCTATTTGTTATTTTAGTGTAATCAAATCCAATGCTTTGTTCTTTATCATTTTTAGGCACGATTAAGAGCCACTGATCAAAGCTGAAGGCAGGCAGTCTGTGCTTTCCTCACCGATAACGAAGGCCTCTTTGAAGGTGGTCCCGGTGACATTGTACCACGGAGGTCTGCCTGCTGTGTAGATGGTCCTCTTGTTGGTTCTCAGCAGAGGAGGCTCCGTCTTGGACTGGCTCGTGGTCCGTTTCCGTGGAGACAACGATGGAGTCAGAGGACAGCAGGTGACGTGACTACTGATGCCGTCCATGGAGTCATCTCCGCTGCCGCTGCGTTTAGACAGATGAACATCAGTAAGAAAAGGGTTCCTTCTACAGATTAAACATTCAATCAATGATTAATTTGTTTATCAGAGGATTGGATGGGATGTTTCTGCCATCAGATCTGCCTTAGTAGTTCATATTTGACCCCCTGCTGCTTCTTTACAGGCATTTTCATCACGGCAATGTATGTGCAGGCTCAGCTGATATTAAAGAACTGAAAACTTAATAATCATAATAATAAATTGTGAACCTGCACATACATTGTTGTTCTGCAGAGAGGAAGAAAGAAACATTTTCACTTGAATGTCTCCATGTGGGCTCTCCGCAGTCTGACCTTTCATGTCGGAGTGATCGAGGGAGAGGAAGGGAGAACTTGCCGATCCCCCCCAGGAAAACACGCCGTAGCCCAGAAGACAGCAAGACATCTAGTAGGGAGGCCACTGTTCACATGAGTAAGGCTGTCATCATTTGGCTGGCTTTGTGGAAAGCACTCTCACCAATCCTCAGCTGATATGGTTCCATTACACATATAGAGCATCCACAACGATCGTCAGCATGATGCATAAAAACGTGTGGAAAAACTAAAATCTAAATGCTTTACTGTTTTTGTTTAAAAGAAAGTTCCCCCTCAACATCTAACCCCTTTTAACAATTGAACAGGAGTGTTGGCCTAGTGGTTAGAGCATTGCGCTTAGGTCCCAGAGGTTCTGAGTTTGAGCACCACTCCCACAGACTGCCACTCTGGGTCCCTGAGCATGACCCTTAACCCCACACATTTCATTGCTTTGTTTTTGTGACAGTGTAATAACAAAGTTGTAATTCTATTCAGTGCATTTGACATTCCAATAAAATACAATCATATTTTTTAATCGGTTACCACTTTTAATGTACGATTACACTGCATCACTCCTAGGGGGAGCCTTTCCCAGTCTGGAAAGCAATGGCCAATGATTTTTAGACTTCAGGTCATTTTTTTCAGAAGCTGATTTTAGTTAGAAGTTTGAAACACATAAATCAATAAGGAGGAAAATAGTGTTATCCCCAGCACTTCTTTCAGCTTTGTTCGATCCAGTCGTTTCAAAACAAAGTGCTATTTTGCTGAAACCATAACCTGATATGTATTGCAACGTCAGCCTCAACTTTAAGGTATTTTTCTGGGTCTTTTCCCTAACTTTTTAAGAGTGATAAGAAAAACTGACCTTTGTGTCCCGTCTTATTACACTGCACTAAAACCAAGGGTCACTTGTTAATAATAAAAACTCCCTAAAACTTGATTAGCTTGAATTGATTTTCTTAGTTAAATAACATGCTTTGTTTTGCACATCTCTGATGTTGCTGCTATTTTCAAATATCCATGACCGTAATGTACTGTGTTGATGTTTCTCTGCTTTAACACAGATGATTCCGATCATTAAAGTTTAGAAAAGCATGTTTCACGGACATCCATTGAAATCAGGTGAGTGGAAGCAGGGAAACACCTAAAACATTAGATTAGATTAGATTAAACTTTATTGTCATTACACAGGTACAGGTACAAGGCAACGAAATGCAGTTTAGGCCTAACTAGAAGTGCAATAACAGCAAGTGCAGGATAAATAATGGTTCCATAAATACAGAACATGGGTTTCTAAGCATAGAGATGAATACCATTATAAACACAATCTTACTAATAGATTAATATAATATATAGATAACTAGTGTTATGAACTAAATTTACAGCTGGATATGTACCGAATATAATATACAGGTGGATATTACTATAAAAAGGGTTTTTAAAGTTATGTACAATAGCATATATACATATGGGTTTTGCTATAAAATGAATAAATAAAGTTTGGACATTCAGATTTCCTTATGAATCAATATCAAAAACACCATCTTAATATATTTTTAATTACTAGAATCATTAGGGGTGCCCATAAATTTGTTCTATCTGATTTTTAAAACACACAAAACATAAAGCAGATCTGCTAAATCTGTTTTTCAGACCTTTCAGGTCTAATGGGGCAAATCAACACAATATAATTACAAGCTTCTCTGGATTACACATCATTGTTATCCATTAAAATAAGAATGTAGCTTGGGACCAAAAAGCCATATGTTGGTATAATATCATAAAACTCTTTGTTAGATTAACCAAAATCATTCTAAAGAGTAAAACTGGATAAAATATTGATTTCAAAAGTGAAACTGCAGCAAGCATTGATCTCACATATAATTTTCTTGACAGATCTGACAAAGGTATTAATAGATCGATCCGTTTGAATAAGTCTATGCATGAGCTGAATGTCTGAAGTGATTTTTTAAAATAATATAATCGTTTATTTCCTCTTTTGTTCTCCTTGCAGCCACGCTGACACAATGCGTGGGACTGACGGAAGGAGGGCTAGCCCGTTAGCCGCGTTAGCTAGATTAAAGGGGGGCGTTCAGAGATCCGACAGCGGCCTCGGATAAACTATCCTCCCCCCGGGGTTTTCCTCACCTGTCGGCCCTCAGCATCGACCTGTCCGCGTCCTCCCCTCCATCAGTAGGCTCATCGCCTGGTTTACTCTCGAGGATCGTCGCTGCCATATCGGCTCGGCGCGGAAACCAAACACTGCGTGCGTGATGACGACACGACACGTAAACCGATGCTGCGTTTGAGGATGTCGGAGAATATCTGTAGCTAAAATTCAGCTTAGAGGGTAAAACGCAGTTTTATACGCGCATTGCGTTATTAAATGTTCCTCGTTTTAATATTTACTACTGCAACTACATCAAACTTGAAAAAAAAATCTAAGTATTTTCAACAAACGGCTCTCTAGGTCTGATTTCTTAGATCTACTACATCGATTGTGCGCTAAAAGTCTTGTTAATCGAATATTTTCATTTGCTGTATTCGAGGAGATAAGAAACTTGTAAAGTAATATCGAACTGATTGAAGGAAAATGAAAATAAATAAAGTCTACTATTTATCCCCAAATTTACATAAACGTAGCAAACAACAATCATAAGGGTAAGGCAGAACATTGTAGCACATAATCAAATAACCGTTTTACCTGTCTTTTGATTTGTAGATATGAGATATTGCAGTCATCCTGTTTAAAATGTCAACTTGTGTTATAACGATTAGGTTAAAAATCAGATGTGTTCTAAAAATGATATTTACGGGAGAGTTTTTTTGGTAAAGCTGGACCTGATCTCAGATCTAACCTGCTTATGAGATACATAGAGTGCAACCTCTTTACCCAGGTTTTGTACAGTATCATCCATATTACAAGTGCAGCTACAATAGAAAACTTAGTTGCGAACAAAACAAAACAAAAAAAATTATTAAAGTAAAGTAATAATAGTCAGTTTATATAAGTGTTATATTAAATAATAACACATTTTATACACTCTAAACTTTCTAAATGAAATTAATACACCTGATAGCTACAGTTCAGGGTGTATACAGTTGATATATATAGTAGATATATATTATAAGTATTATATATCTTATATTAAGAATTATGTTTGTTAATTTTTATTAAAGGTATAGAGGACGATCTATTATTTCCGGGTGGATCATCTGAATAAGTGGTTCTCCTACTTGTCAATCATTGTGGTGATATGTTTATGTAAGGCATCGTATGTGCTCAATCTGTTAGCTATCTTTTTATGCACATTGGCAATTTCAGACGTATATCGGTGGTGAGCTACGGTTTCAGACAGTCATTGAACCTCAACTTTCTCACCCGGGTCATAAGAGAAAAAGTGTATGATAAGAAAAGAAAAGCCTCAGAAGAGGCAGATATATCCCAGAATGCTTTGCGAGGAGAGCTCCCCTAGCAAAGCATTATGGTATTTGCTGTCACAGCGGCCCGCTGAGACTAATAACAAAGATGGCACAGGCTGGGCGCAGAGGAGGAGGAGTTATGGGACCAACGAAGCAAAAAGCAGTTATCATCTGTCCGAACGGTCAGTTAACTGACTTTGCTATAAAGTCCACTATATAGTCCCCACTGTATGCCAACACAGTAAGCTTGTATGAGCTGTGAGAACAGAACATTTAAAACAGGGTGTGCACGAGGAGAAATTGTCTTGGACACGCTCTTGCACGCACCTTTTGGGGCGGGTTCAGCACAATACCTTAATTCATATACCTTTCATATAAAATTACACTTAAAACAAATGAGCAGCAACAAAATCTATGTATGACCTTTTTCATTTAAACAAGAAATTTAGATATAAATAATTTATGTGTTAAAATGTATCATTTACAACTCATGGTAACTCAAGGTAATAATATACAGTCATAAATAGCCTATAAACGATTAAGCCCACAGATAATTATACTCCTTTATAGATCTCCTTAACAATGAGTTCAGGAATATACCTGGGAAACTCTAGACACTTAATACGAATATTAATTAACAATTAACCCCAAACCTTACTTGTTTACTGGAAAAAATGACTTATAACTTGAGAAGCCTGTTATGGTTTATTATATGATAATATGGCCTGCCATAAGGGCTCAGCAAAAGTCAGGAATAAAACATTACCTAGACTTTTGAGTTACCCATACCAATCATTAGGTCATCTGCTAGTTTAAATAGATTTCTATTGGTTATTTTATCTATTAAGTCTGACTGGTGACTGAGTAAGTCAACAAAAAACAAACAAACAGAAACAGTAGGAACAACATACCAAAATAGGACAGGCCATTGTGTTTGTTAAAATTTTATTTTGTGCATGCAATAATTTATCATAATTTATATCATAATAAGATATTTATTCATTAATTTGTGTTTTGTTTGGTGTAGTGGTTATATTTTCCATTAAGGCTATATTTGATTAAAATAATATTTTTCTGATTTTTGTTATAGTTTAATCTAATGATGCGCTTTTAGGCTTTTCCATTTTAGATTAGATTGGGTTTAAATTAGTGCAAATTAGAAAACACTGTACGTGTACAATAAATGTTGTAATTTGGATGCATATGTTCTGATATTTGAAAGCGTCTTGAATTTATATTTGATCCAGCTATTTATGCACGAATGAAAGCATGTTGAAACGCTCGCGCCTTCTGACGCCTGTCCCATTAAGTTCAGGTGTCCTGTGATCAGTCAGGCTCTGCACCCTCTGCAGGAACATTAGCAGCTGCAGTGTTCAGCGCGCTCTGCCTCATTCCTGCTGCAGTTTGACGTTTCAAGGCAACAAGTCCAACAAGATTTTTTTCTTTTTTCAAAAAAAAAAAAAGGAGAAAGAATTCTCTGAAAAAAAATATATTTTTACCACTCTGCCTGCTATTCGTCGCTGGAATGAAATCATTTTAATGTTTGCTCTCAAGACTTGGAGATCAGTGAATATGTGGTGCTGGCTGACTTTGTTCTGCGTCGACTGAAAATCAGAGGAAACCGGATCTCTCGATACCTGCAGCTGCAGGACAATAAAGGAGGATAAGAAACAATTATTTGAAAGATTGCTGGAATAAAAAAAATGGATAATACTCAGTCTAATTCTGAGAAATCCCACCTTATAGACGAGAAGAGTGCGAAGCTGTACTCCTTAAAATTGCAAAGGTGAGACTATATATGCTTTATAAATGAGGATAATTACTTGCTAATTCTGCATGCATTGAATGAAAATGAGTATCTGCAAAAAACATTTGTTATTTGAGGTGAAAAACTTTATACAGATCCACGCATGTGGCAGGAAAACGTCATGAAGCCTGCGCGTAACACGGGTGCGCATACAGAGGCAGCAGTTAGTTACTGTGGTGCATGTTAAGCATGGCTGACGTGGGCTGTTTTATGTGAATGAGCAAATTCATTTCCATGCTTGGCTTGTTTCTGGACAGCCTGTGACAAATGGCCCCCGGGGCCAGTTCACCGAGCGGTGCTAAAACCTCATCATCTGTCATTGGAAAGCTGGGGGAGCGCGCTGCGGCGCGGCTCCTGCACTACCAGACCGCATGTCAACCGGGCGTGTTGGGGGGGGGGGGGGGGGGGGGGGGGGGGGGGGATGCATTCAAACAAAATAGACAAGTATTCATCAAAGATAAATAAAACTCAAAGAAGCTGAATATTTTTTTTGCAATTAAGTTTGTTGATTTTGGAGATAAAAAACGTCAGATTTGTTCTGCGCTTTTTCATGCTTGGAAATTGAATCAGGACCTGTTTGTAACTTCAAAAAAATCGAATCAAATAAAATACCAAGCAGAAATTTCGATACACATACATTTTCTTTTAAGGCCTCAACTTGATTTTATTTTAATTATGTAGTAAATAAATGCTCCATCTGCATAGATCAAGTAAATCCTGCTTATAGTTAATGTCAGATGTTATCCCCACAGGATATTTATCAGAAAATAAAAACAAAGAAAACGTTTCAGAGATATTTTTTCTCCACAAGCATCGAGGCCCCTAAGATAAAATAAAAATAATTAAAAAAATAAGAGTTCAAATAAAGGTGGCGAGAGGTAGACATTTGAGCATATGGCGCGGCGTTTGGGGTTTCACGCACCATTTGCGCTATTCCCGTGCGCTTCCATGCGTGCGCATTTACTGAGTCACCGTTTTTATTTGGATTTTATGTTGACAAAAACATTCATTTTTAACCATTGTCAAAAATCACAAGACATATTTACTCTAATAGGCCGCAAATGTTTTTTTTTTTTTTTGATAGAGATATTCTAAAGCACTTTTTGAAAAAAAAAACGAAAAAAAAAAACGTGAAAGGTACATTTTATACGAAAAAATAAATTCTTTATGGGAATGTTGTGAGCAAAGAGGAGGTTTAAGTTGGAATTCTTCTGTTTGTAATTTAAAAAGAGATACAGACAATAAGCCAGGTACAAAAATGACTTTGGTGAAGGGGAGATCCAAGGTAATCAGGTTAAAACAATCAATTCCTATACCGGTTTAACCGCCCAATATGGCACACTTTACAGAAATAGCACTTTAACTTATTTAAAAAAAAAACTTGATCAGAAGGGGGGACCTTTATATTTCCACAATCTTATCAGTAATCAAAGATTTAAAGAAGCTTTCCTGAAGCTTTCATCAGGGCCCAGAGAGCTTAATTAAGGGATGCCCAGTGGGGTGGGGAGGGTAGCATAACCAGATCAAAAGTTAAATATTATTAGGAAACATTACTATGGTGAAATGTCATAATATCGACATAACTGAATGAAATGTTTGAGCCTTTTTACAGGTTTTCAATAATAACTAGTACTTGTCCACTGTTTAAAAAAAAACAACCATTTATAGAATAGAATAGAAAATCCCTTTATTGTCCCACAATGGGGAAGTTCTGGTGTTTACAGCAGCAAAAAGATTATAGGGAAAAAAAATGGTCGAACAAATGTGGACCTTACAAAAATGTTTAAGAATATTATTGATTCCTCAGATCAACCATTATCCACAATGATAAAGAAGCTATGAAGTTTAAGTAAGAGAAGTTCCTTGTGTGAACTTAAGGAAGCAGATGATAGCATTTGTTTTTGCCATTTAAGACAAAAAGCAAACATAAAAGCCTTTATTTAAGAGATGTTTTTCTAATAGAAACTATTTTAAAACTTCATATTTTTCCGGAATAAGTTAGGTTAGACATAATGCTGTTTCAGACAAGCAATAAAAAACCATATGGATATGGTTTATTGATTTTAAGCAGTAATGTCCGGACTTTTCACGCTTTAATGAAGAACGAGGCCTCTACATGTTGTTTGAATGAGACAACACATTCAATGGTAACTGCCCTGGATTTAATAACAAGTATAAGTTTCTATATATTTGACAACAGCCTCATCTGCTTATGGATTAATGTTAAATGCCTGTGAAATGTTTAGGTCTATATATATATTTTTTTTTTCTTTGGGGGGTGCTTTTTCTAGGGTTTATATACAGGATTAGGTTCTGAGTATGAATTTAACAGAAATGATCATAGAGTTGCAGCGCGGATGATTAATGTACCCTCATTAACATGAACTGTTATAAACTGTCGGTTTATCAGAAGCTCACTTACTGATGTCGGTCCTGCAGGTTTCAAAGAGTCCATGTAAGCCAGGTTTAGCATTTATTTAGTTACATGTGTGATTATAAGCAGAATCTGTAAAGCTTCTGGTTTGCATTTTATTTGACTTTATTTTTAATTTGAAAAAAAGAGAATTGTCGCACGCCAAAAGGGGTGCAAAATGTAAAACAAAGCTTACAGTAATGTTTACCAAGCAGAGAAGTCTAGTTTTGTGGAGGTAAAGCCAGGATTATTATAGTTAATGTCCCCTCTCCATAAGACAAGGCACTGATGGTGCTGTTCCTGACTTAAACTAACCTTGACTGTTTTCTAACCTCCAGCCTGGAAACTAAAACACATAATAAAGCTGGGATAATATTAAAGTTAAATTCTTCAGACACAAAACACACAGAAATGTTAGGAATTATCTTTATCATTCATAAAATGGCTTGTCTAACCCTAAAACACATAGGGTTGTTAGATTTAATAGATACTTTTCCATTAAAAATGGGGAGAACATCGAACAATGATGCACCCTATCAGATACACACCACACTAGTGAGAGCTTACCATTTCTCTGTTTAACTTAAAGTGAATGATGTTAAAGTTTAAGTCCTGGTTGAGAGTCGTTTACAATAAGAAGAAGAGTTATTTAAAGAGTGATCCAGAAAGAAATGTGACTAATCCCTGAGGCATGCACGCCTTCAAGGAGCAGCAGCTTACATTACACAAGCAAGAAGAAAGATTTCCAAAGCCATTACAGCTGCTCTATAGGAAATACAGATGAGATTTTAAATAGCCATAAATTTATGTTATTGGTGGAATATGTACAGTACACTAGCAGGGTTTAAGCAGCCATTTATTATTAGAATAATTTATTATCTATAGTTTACAACTCATGCAGCCCCTCCAAAATATATCATTTAACTTTAGGATCATATTAATATCTGTTTATACAAGTAAAAACTGTGATTTATTAAATGACTTTCCTGTTTATGTCTGAGGTCTCATTTCATTTCACAGATCAATGGATGCTCTCTGATGGCTTTGCTGCTGTTGCTGAGTGTCTGAAAAAAGCCATCAAACGTTGTTCAGATGCCTGAAGGTTATTGAGTAACAGATAAATATAATATTCAATGCAATCAAGAGGCTAGCAGTGTGTTCTATGTTCTTTTTTAGCCGCATAAGCAGAAACTCGGGTCCTAAAAACAGGCTTAGATGTTCTGGAAAGTGCAAACCTAGAGTTGGAGAAATGTGCTGAAATATCTATCCCCTAAGGCCTCTAAAAAGATGCTAGACTGCGAAATTTAACTGCACTGAGCTTTTTTTTTTTAAAGCATCTCACTTTGCCCACTCAGCTGCCTGGATGTAAACAGCAGCACTTGGAAAAAAAACTCTCTCTGAGGACCTGACTGGTCTGCAGATCCCTAGAGGACTTCCAGCATTAGAAAACAATTACGGAACAGGAAGTTTAACAATGGCATATTAAGTACAACTCAAAGAAGTGATTATATAGGTCTAAGTGATTCAGACACCCACCCTCTGTAATTGACATTTATTAATTCCTTGCAATATTCTGGGATTATTAAAGTATTTCTGATTCTTTCATGACAGGAATACTGATCAAAACATATTCTTTACTAATTACTTTAAAATAATATAACATCAGACTAATCATTTGGACTCCACCCGCACAGGCCCCACATGTGCATGAAAGGCCTGTCGAGGGGCAAGCCTTAATATCTCTATAGGATTTAAGTCAAGGCCTTGTTTAGTCTCCTTTAATAACTTCATTTTGCTTGGTTAGATTGTTTCTGTTCCCGCCTCAACTCAAATCAACCAGATAATTATCCTCTCACTCTCTACGATCCTTGTGCCCCAGTTGCTTTATGTTTATACCTCAGCCAAGATTGTATTTTAGGAGTTTGTGTGTCTGTCTGTCTGTCTATAGGATAACTTGAAAATGATGGATGTATTTTATATCAGATGTGTCCCTCATGCAAATCCATTAAATTTTGGCTATGATCCAGATAATCTGGATACAAGAATGTTCTAAACGATTCTCTAACATTGTGTGAGGGATATTTGGTGGAACTGTGGAAGCAGTTTTATTGTCTTATATATCCTTACACGTGGCCCTATACTTACTTAGCAACAAAACAGTACATGCTGAAGGTCAAGTATGAGTCTTAGCAATAATAAAGTCCCTAATGCCTTATTTGTACGCAATTAGATGATGTATGAGGAGGTTTGGCATAAACAGAGAACATCTGTATAAACATTCCTCCGAGTGTCAAAGCAACCGCTGGCATCGACCAGTACACGTGAATTCCAGTAAGCTTTCGACATGACTGGACTGAAGGTTGGGGGATAACTGAATTGTGACGATGCATTGCTGGATGTATGAAGTGTTTAAGACAGCTGTATGAATTCGGTTTTGTAATTAAATGTGTCCCCCCTCCGGTTGATAAAATGGTGTGAATCGTGGCCTTCTTTCTGTCATAAGGGAATTCTACCAATGAGCTTCTATAGAACAAGCAGTTCACCACTAAACCAGAGGGTGGCAGTAGTGACTATCAACAGCCTCAGCATCGGACTCAAAAAGTCTGAAGGTGTTTCACTGAAGACAAAAAAACAAAGAAGAGGGAAAGTTGTCGGTTTGTTAGCAGGATCAATTGAAAATTTATTTACAGATTTCATGGAAATATTTCTACAAGAGGTTTGCCTCGTACCAATGAACAGTTTTTTTTAATTTGGGAATGATACAGATCATGTATGAGCTGCAGCTATAGGTTTAAGTCACAATATTGGACAAAATGTGCTGCTTGGTGAAGTTTGTGGTCTGCGAGTGCTAGCTTAATCTATAGTTGCTCCCCAAGTTCAGTTCTCATTGTCCTTTGCTGTTAATGTTACTGTTTGTTATCACTGAAACCCTTCAGCTCATTATGTTGCTCCCGAGATTCAGTCTGTGCTTTGGTTCAGGTCAAAAACCACTGATTGTTACTCTGCTTGAGGCAGAATAAGATGTTGTTTTCACCTGAACCTCCATGATGAATGGTGTAGGAAAAATTTGTTTGAGATATTTGCAGACCCTGTCTGACAGTAACAAGTCTGAGCACCTAGCTGACCTAGAAACCTCTGAGAAAAGCTGGATAGATTGCAGAAGTTTTCATAAAAAAAGCCCCTAACAGCAAGATGTCTTAGCCTTTCATTCATTTTCTTTTAGTTCTGAAGAAAAAATCATGGCTAACTGCTACACCTGTCATTCTAATTTATGAACAATATTTCTTACCTTGCAGTTTCGCCATTTGTTCTTAAAACCCAGTTCACATTAAACTGTAATTGTTAAATTAGAATTGATTAGTAACCAGTTTTTAACTTTGTCACAATTATCTCAATAAATGTAATTAAAAAAAGCCGTTCTATCTTTGTATCCGTTTTAGAATAAAAAGTTATATCGATTAAAAGACTGATTTAGATTTAAAGGTACTTTTAATCATCATAGAATCAGGAAAAAAAAACTTTTTTATTTATATAAAAAATGGCATGTGTATAAGTGTTCATATATTTATCAATAATTAAATAAAAAAATAATAATTAGCATTACAGCCGGTTCTTATTTTGTATGAGAACCTAACTAACTCTGGATATCTAATCAAAAATGCTTCAAATATTGACATTACTTCAAATCAGAGGAAGCATGTTTGTAAAATTAACTACAAAATAAACTGTCTTTTCCCCTAAAGCCAAGTAAAAATGGTAATTAAATCATATTCACCCCCCAAAACATTTTTCTCCATGTGTTCATTTAATCTCGATCACAAAAATCATTTAGATAAATCACAGTTCCATCAAACTGAGCTCAGTCTGTGTTTATGAGATGTGTGAGATTTCTTGTCCCGGTGGAGTAATTGAACAGAATCCTTTTTCCGCTTTACCGGTTCTTTTCATTCAAGACATCCCCTGATAGGACTGTTTCTGTGATAAAGGAAAATCATGCAAACCTTGCACTGATAATGTGGAGTGTGTGAATTAAAGTGTGTGTGCGTGCATGGTTATCTCAAGACAGGCCAGATTAGTTTTTTTCCACCTCATTAGCGACATCATTGCATCCCCCAATCACTGCACTCACCAGAACAAGAAGCCTGGCTGTGTGAGGTAAGCAGTAAGACGAAGAATCAAATTTTTTTTGCTGTACTTTCCCCTTATTGTGAAGATGAAATAAATATACTAATGCACGTTTGATATTTTACTATTTACTCAAGTAAATTACTCAATAGTAATATTTTCCAGAAAACACAACATAAAACATATTTATTCATTTTTGTTCTGTTAAAAGCCATCATTTTCAAGCATTTTACAGGAAATCTAGTTGCAAAAATGCAATCTTGTTTAAAAAATACCTCAAATTCCATCAGATTGGAGGGAAAATATCAGCGGACATCAAATTTTAGGTCTAACTACTGATTCTCAATTAGATTTAGGTGTGGAGTTGGCATCATTTGTTAAGTGCATGACTAATAAAAGTCATATCGACTGATTTTCAACTAAGATGTGGATCTTTACAATGTTTATTCTTTAATGAATCTTTGAGGTCTTCACATAACAGATATATTACACTAACATTTGATTAGAAATTAACTCTGTTGATCAAGTGACTTCTGAATGCAGTTTTTTCCATGGAATTTATTTCGATGTCTCACAGTGAACATGGATGGTTTACGTTTCATCCTTTTCAGCTTTTTGGTTTGTGAAGAAGTTTAGGCAAAGCATGTTTATTTATATAGAGCATTTCAGTAGCACAACATTTGAAATCTCTGTACATGAGATGAAAAAGAAAGTACATGCCGTGGTTTATAGGCGATAGAAATAATTGGAGAGAATAGCGATGAATAAATAAAATTAGATGAGTAATAACTAAGTAACTAGACTGATTTATAAAATGAAAGGAAAAGAAAAAATGGACTGAAAACTGTAATAATAATGTCAAGATAGCACAGTTAAGGTCTGCTCTAAACAACTTAGGGTTTCAGCACTTTTATAGTTTTCTTAGAGTTTGTTCCAGATCTGTAGAGCATAAGAACTAAAAGCTGCTTCTCCATGTTTGCTTCTGGGTTGTAGAGTAGATTTGAGCCAGAAGAACTGATGACATTGTAATGTACAGACTGCATCGTTATGGTAACTTATGTTGTTTATTATGTTTTAAAACCATTGGTGGAAAAATTTACTAAAGTAAATTTATTTGATTACTGTACTTAGGTGTTTTTCTTTTAGTATATTTACTCTAGTTGAGCAATTTCTTGGGGAAGTACTTATAACTTTCACTCCACTACATTTCAAAGTCAAATATTGTACTTTTTACTCCACTCCATTTCGAGGAACCTGCTAGTTACTTCTTCCTTTTGACTCAGCTTAGCTTTTTAAACTGCTGTTGATGTTTTTCTCTCTTGAAATAAAATTTCTACATGGCAGATAGCTGTTTGAGATGTTTGAGAGATTTGCATGGTTTTCCACAAATGTGAGAAACTCACAGGCAGATGCTATTTGTAGTTAATAAATTTTCTGAAGCCGTTAGTTGTTGCCATGTTGTTCAGCAGGATGACTTCTCAGATCACTTGTTGTAGTTTCTTTGTGGAAATAGATTCAACCTTAAACCTATATTCCATAGTGAAAGTGTGAGGAGAATCAAGACTCTTCTTTTTCTTTTTGGTTTGTTTTAAAATAAGAAGTATAATCAAAATAGCTTTCCTTATTTTTTGATTTTATGCTAAATTTCTTTGCATGTGGTCTAGGATCTGTAGCAGGTGATTTTTCAAGCATCAGGTGGTTTTTAAATAAAATGACAAATAAATCTGATGGTGGTCAGAGGGCCCGGTGGCGCCAGTGTACGGCAGCCCCGCTTCTGTCAGTGAGCCCCAGGGCAGCTGTGGCTACAATGTAGCTTGCCACCATCAGTGTGTGAGTGTGTGCGTGAATGGGTGAACGAATGTAGTGTAAAGCGCTTTGGTCAAGTCTCCTGACTTGAATAAAGGCGCTATATAAGTACATGCTATTTACCATTTACCAAATCTGTCTAAGTTGTGAAAATTACAAGGTTATTTAAAATAACTCTGGAAATTATACAGAAATATACTGATATTAGAACATTTCTTTTGTATTTTTAAATACTTAAGACCTTTTAAATGCATATAGTTTTGAATACTTAAGTATTTTTAAAAGTGAGTACTGCAATACTTGAACAGACATTTGACTGAGTAACTTCAACTTGTAGTTGAGTAAAAAAAAAAAAGAAAAAAAAAAAAACTTGTAGTTGAGTAAGATTTGAACTTGAGTAGATGTTTGACCCAGTAACTTTAACTTTTAGTTGAATAAGATTTAACTAAGAGTATCAATACTTTCCCCCAAGTACTTCTGTTGAGTACTTTGTCCACCACTGTTTAAAACCATGTATTATTTGGTAAATAATCTTCGTAACATAGCATCATGTGACTTTATGTGTGACTTTTCAAAATCCTGGAATACAATTACTGTTTTTTTTTTGGCTGCAGGAACTAATGGTGAAAATAAGTCACACAGCTATTTAACAAGCATGTTGATCAAATTAACCAATCAAAATTCTGGCAGAGACTGTAACACATAAAAGTACCTGAAATAAATAGGAATTTATTAGAATGATTAGTCAAACATCATCATTCAGTATTTCTATCTGCAATAACCCTCAAATGTGCTCTCAGTTTCTATTCAGAAAAAAACATACCCTGTGTGTTTTAAAAAAAAAGCAGAGTGTTTATCCTTTTTCACTGCCAACATCAGTCGATTTGATCAGTCTCTTCCCTGAAGGAGCATGCTCACCATTCATCCACTAAAGTGAACATTGATCGCACCAGACTGTGTCAGGTTTTTAGTTTGAGATCCATTGTAGCTCTTCTAAAGGATACCTCTCTCTGCTGCAACATTTACTCTAGAAAACCAATTGTGTAGAAACCTAATGCGTTGTAGATTTTCTGTCATTATGAGACAGACAAATTATGGTTCAGTGTGATCTAAAGCTGAGCATTTCTTTTAGACTTAAACATATTTTACTGGTGTTAGATTATGTGATGTACCAATAACTGACTCTTTCTGCATCCTTATAGCTCATTTGCAGACTCCAAAGAACACTACCAAGACTTCCCTTTAAAAAACGGGGGAATGTCCGGAGCTATCGAGATGAAGCGGCCTGTTGGTGCACACTGCCATGGACCCAAACCTTTGGTTGGAGAGGAGAGTGGCGACAAGCTGCTGGCTAAGAAGAAACTTTACATCGCTTCAGCAGTCTGTCTGGTCTTCATGATTGGAGAGGTCATAGGTAAAGAGAGCGCTGAAGATTTTTAGAAAATAAGCAATTTTCTTATTAGCACAGTAGCATTCAGGATAAATATAGGCAGTACTCGAGTTGAGGGGGGATGAGGGGGGATGCATCCCCCTTCTTAAATAAAATCATGCCCTTTCTTAAATATGACATTTTACTACTGAATGTAGTAAAATAAATAAAATCAAATAAATGTCCTACCATGACTATGAAGCTGATCCCAGTGGCTAATTTGTCCCTAACTATGTAGGGGGGCAGTGATAGCCATGCCAGTCCAGGGACTGACTGCAGTTCTACTATAAGGTACCTTGGTCAAGGTCAATGACCGGCGTACCTGACCTGTAACAACCATACCATGCATATTGCTTCAGGTTAATAGATTACATTATTTAAGCTTCCACCATCCCCTTTCTTTAGTTGAGTGCTGAATATAGGCTAATTTTAAAAAGCTTAAATCTGCCTGTCTGATTTATAAAGTCATAAATGTTCTGTTCCGCAGCGTCTGCCGTGAAGCGGGCGCTGTACCGGTCCGTCGTGGTGAAGAGAGAGCTGAGTCAAAAAGTGAAGCTCTCGATTTACCGGTCGATCTATGTTCCTACCCTCATCTATGGTCATGAACTCTGGGTCATGACCGAAAGAACGAGATCGCGGATACAAGCGGCCAAAATGGGTTTCCTCCGTAGGGTGGCTGGGCTCTCCCTTAGAGATAGGGAGGGACTCGGAGTAGAGCCGCTGCTCCTCCACATTGAGAGGAGCCAGTTGAGGTGGCTTCTGGTTAGGATGCCTCCTGGACGCCTCCCTGGTGAGGTGTCCGGGCACGTCCCACCGGGGGAAGGCCCCGGGGAAGACCCAGGACACGCTGGAGAGATTATGTTTCTAGGGTGGCCTGGGAACGCCTTGGGGTTCCTCCTGAGGGGCTAGAAGAAGTGGCTGGGGAGAGGGAAGTCTGGGCCTCCCTTCTTAAGCTGCTGCCCCCGCGACCCGACCCCGGATAAGCGGAGGAAGATGGATGGATGGATGGATGAATAAATGTTCTGCTCCTTCCACCACTAAATGACTTTAGTAAAAAGAAATTCCCCTGTGGGTCAATGTTCCATGTAACTAGAGGTGATAGTGACCTTATATTTAGACAGGCATCATTTTAATTAACATCATCTCACTTCAGGGCTTAGCCTTTCTGGAATAACATAACTGTTTTAGTGAGGGAAAGTTTTCAAACTACATTTAAAAATACATTTAAAATTTTAGACTCAAACATTTGAACATGATTTTTGGATGGCAGAGGAGAAGAGAAAAAAGAAAGGACTTTCTTTTTTCTCTCCTCAGCTCTTTAAAGGGCACTTTTGCATATTTTTTCAACAATCCCCCACCTGTACACGCCACCTGTGAGATCAGTGCAATATTACAGAGAGCAGTGCAATACAAATAATTGACTTTTGTTTGTTTCTTATAGACATTGACATATCGGGCCATGTTTAGTGTTGTAAATACCTCATTTGTCTGTGACATCCACCTGCCTGGTGGACTGCAGATCAAGATTAGGCTAAAACTGTAATCTGGAATATTTATATCGTCTAATGTTCATTAATATGCACTGTCCTGTTTTTCTCTAAATTTAGGATTTTAGATATTATACGGAAATATCGTGAGAAAAATTTGAAAAGTTTATAATAGCCACTTAATGTATAGCTTTATTTTTAGATAATATGTGTTCCGTGAATTTTAGGGTTAACCTTGATCGATTTCTTTATTTTACAAAGAAAATCAGTCTTTGTTTTTATTTTACCTACAAATGGTTGAGATCTTTCTCCAATAAAATGCAGAACAAAAAAATTATTTTCTCTGAATGGTTGATTGGTCCTGACAGTCCTCCCCAGTAGACAATCAGTGCAGTCATAGCTTCTGTGGTCCAGCATCACTTTGCTGTTACATAATCTTGATTTAGATCTTTGTAATCTAGCCAAAAAGAACTTGTCTTGGCAGACACATAATTGGTTGAGCTTAACGGATGTACTGGTTTTGCAGCTAAAATCTCATTGTACCTTCCAATTACAGTTGGCTGTGGTTGTTTGTTTTTTTCTGTTTGAGAGTTATCTGTACTACAAGACGTGTGCAACCTGAAGAAAAAAAAGAAATAAGGTGTCAGTTTAACTTACTTTGTCAAGAGCTCCCAACAGATTTTGGAATAGTTCTCAAAAATAACCATTTTAAACAAATTTGAGAAAGTAAAAAAAAAAAAAAAAAACATCATCTTTATTCATGCACAAACTCAGTTTGAAGCATACCTTTTTTTTTCTTCATAAGATTAGTAGCTCAGGTGGGATTTATTAGAGTCTTTAAATAATATTTATATATTATAATGTATATATTATATTATATTATGTATATATTGTAAAACATATAGTTTATTGCGTAGTGCTGACATTCTTTTGCTAAATACACAAATACTAGGTATCATTCAATCAAATGGTAAAACCTGAGGTAACTGTGTCATGCTTTGGAGAAGCTCTTAAAATGCAAGTTTTATCTATCACTAAAGATAACCTTTTTTAGTGATTTCCTTTTCACTTAGAGGCTGTTGTCCATCTTATAAACAAAGAATTAAGTTTGATCTGTAATAATGGCGGTTTGCATGGTTTGAAGTTACTTTTCTTGTTTTAAACAGGAGGCTATCTGGCCCACAGTCTTGCCATCATGACTGATGCTGCTCATCTCCTCACTGATTTTGGGAGTATGATGGTGAGCTTGTTCTCCCTGTGGATCTCCTCCAGACCTCCCACCAAAATCATGAACTTTGGTTGGCACAGATCAGGTCAGCAAAAGAAGGCAGATGAATCTTTATGTGTGGATTTCATCATATAGTAGGAGATAAGAACCAAAGTAGTGTTTGTTGCTTCAAACGTTCATGTAACACTGTTTTAATTAATTTAGAGGAAAATTAGTCACAGTTAAAGTCCACCCTGTTTATGTGCAGTGAAGTGACAAATCCTCGCTTCTGCTTTGCTCCCAGAAATCCTTGGAGCGTTCATCTCCGTCATATCCATCTGGATCGTTACAGGAGCTCTCGTCTATTTAGCTATTGAAAGGATTGTACGAAACGACTACGAGATTGAGGGGCATGTAATGTTAGTCACTTCTGGATTCGCCGTCATTGTAAATATTGTGTAAGTACTTCATTGCTTAATAGCTGTAGACATAAAATATTGAAAGACATTTATTATGCAAATCACTGTGGTGTTAATATACAGAGTTTAAAACTTACTGAAAATTTAAATCAATGTTTTTTTTCCAAATCAAAATTTATTCAATTCTAATGAAACAGGCCATCTAATAATTAAGGTTTAAAAGTCTGAGATTTTTGAGAATATCTTAAAAGTTGTTAAATATAAAAAAAAAAATGTATTTGACATTATTATATGAACATATTTGTTATTATGGATCCTAATACTCTATTTTTTTTTGTTTAGCACCTATCATGTTTTGTTTCTTATGCCAGATCATTCTCAGTATCTTTCTTTAGTTGCTGTTGTGTTTTTGGTTTCAATCTTTGCCTCTGCCTCAGTGTTCAAAGTTATTGACCCCACCAGCTTCTTGCCAACCAGTTCTCCTAGTTTTTATCTGGTTTATTTACGGTACTCCTTATGTGTAAATACTCTTTGAATACAAAGCTTAACCAAGATTGTTTTTGCTTCACCTCGTGCTGTAACTGTTTACCTAAACATAAGTCTTCCAGTCACCAAGCTGCGTCTGCAGAGCAAGTATGCCTGCCATTAGGTTCATTCCATTTAACTCCTTTTGTCAGCTTTTGTATATTAGCATGACAATATTTGGCAGATTTTCTGTAGAACTAAAACCTCATCTAAATTAAGTAGGATGTCATTTTTATATGTTTACTTCCTCATTTCCATCAATCAATCCAGATAACTTCCAAAGTGTCCATCTTTTCTTTATGTGAGAATGATTTATTATATAATATCAAATTATATGGTATGTCTATTGGATTTTTAGGTGAATGAGATGTTAATGTTTTTTTTTGTAGCAGGTTTTCTATAGTTGTCTGTTGGATAAGTTTGGGGGAAGAACATCCCGGACAAGCCCCCAATAAATTTTATAAGTATTCCAGAATTCAATTTATAGTGTAGTTGGAAACTATAGTCGCATTTAGAAAGACATCTCACCAAATGTAACCATGTTAGTAAATATGTCAACTATAATAAAACTAAAGAGAAAATACATCTAGAATTTTAAGCCAAATGTAACTTATTTCTTAATTATTGTATCAATGAGTTTAAGAGGTTGGTCATAGCTGTCACTGACTGATTTAGAAGGACACTTCCATTCAAAGATATTAGAAATATATTATTATTGCACTTCTTTTATGTGTTTTAAGTGTGGCAGGCCAAATGAAATAAAGGTTTATGGAGGAACATCACAGCTACATAGAACTTTAAAGTCACATACTGATCTTTGATGTTACATTGTCTGCCTGAATGTTCTGCTAGGAAATATAATTCAAACAGACCACCTTGTTTTATTCCTGTTGAGACAGTCTGAAAAGCTTTTATTTTACTCCACATGTAACAGGGTGTTTACATATCAAATAAATCTGAGGTCTTGGTGTTACTTTTGATCAGAATCCTTAGAAATAATTGTTTGAACTCAGGTTTCCAGAAAATGTAGCTCATAACCATTAATTAATTCCGGTGGCAATAAACATTTAACAAAGAACTAAATAGGTTTGTATAGCTTTTTTCCCCGAAATGAAATAAAATCATTTAAAAAAGATTTTTATGTTATTTTTCTGATGCTAAAAATTGTTTTATGATCTGAAACAACTTAATTGTGACCTAAAAATAATAGCAGATGGAAAAGTTAAGATGTTAGTGTTTATAGAACTGTTTATAAATAAATAAAGAAATGGGATACCATAAACCAAAAGACAGGGCCAGTAATGTCGAACTGCAATGTTTATATTTATGAAGTATAAATGTTTTTCTCTACGAAAAAGAAAATGTAGGCTTCAATTACATAATGTGGACACTGCACTTAAATAACTGGCAAAATTACAAAAAAAGATGTACACAGTACATTAAAATACCAGTCTAGTAACCACTTTAAGTGGTGTTTCTCTTCTACAAAAGACAAAATAAATAAATTCATTAAAAGAAAAGACAATTGAACTAGAAATTACTATTTCAACCTCTGTTCATAATCCAGGTACCAATGATGATCTTTTTTATTTCTGCAGTATGGCCTACATCCTTCATCACTCTACGAACCTCCACCCTCATGGTAGGGGTTATCAGCAGATTGATGAGGATGGTCAGAGCCCCGTCAGTCATGGCCACTCCCATGCGCTCCTTGGTGCCCATGGCAACACAAGCGTCCGCGCCGCATTCATCCACGTGCTCGGTGACCTGCTGCAGAGCATCGGCGTCATGGTGGCAGCGACCATCATCTTCTTTCGGGTCAGATATAGATCACATTCTTGTTAGGGTGAGGTTGAACCATCAGTTTAATCCTGCTGGCATCTTAAAAAATGCCTATGTAATTATAAAAGATTCTTTTTTTTTATGTATTCAGACTTAATATGTTGCAGTTCAATTTTAAATGAAATTAATGCACCACTAAAATGCACCACTTAAATTTACTGAAATATATAAACATTAAGCAAAGTTTGAGAGCATGGACTGTTTTTTCTTTTCATTAAAGACATTCCATTTTTTCCATCAGAGGTTTTGATATGTCAGGAAGAAACATCATCTGAGGTTCTAATACTTTCTTTGTTTTTTCAGCCTGAATATAAAATTGCAGATCCCATCTGTACGTTCCTGTTTTCTATCTTCGTCCTTTTCACCACCCTCACCATCCTCAGAGACGTCTTCAGGATACTAATGGAAGGTATTGGCTGATCTATCACTTAAAACAGTAAATATAAACATGCCACAATGGTCATTTTGGTTGTGAATTTGTTAAAAATGCCGGGTCTAATTAATAAAGCAGCTGTTTAATAAAAGATTAGACAGATATTCCTATGAAACTTCAAAATTGTTTTAGGTGCATAAAACTAACACACTGATTTATAAAGTGACTGATAATCATTTAATAATATTCTTTCAACCCCAGTGAACTACATACAAAATGTGCAACTCAGTTGAAGAAATCCCAGCCATGCAGTTCAGTTATAAATAAGGTGCATATTTAGAAACAGTATATTTGTCTTGATTTGTTCTGTTTTAGTTCCAAAAAAAACGAACAATAATCCAGTGGACTTTGTTTCAAGTTTGAAGACGTTTTACTTCCCATCCAGGAAGCTTTTTCAATTCAAAATGTCAGAAATAGCGTTAAGTTTGAGTTTATAGGGTGGACCAAAAACAAGCCTTCTTTTGGCTTAGAAAACATGCAGATTGAAACGGACGAACGGAATCGGCAGTAGTTTGGGCTTTTTGTTAGCCTGTGATACCCAATACTGGTCTAGTCCTCTGAAAGTGGGGTCGTTATAGGGAATTTTTGGCCTTACCGAACAGGTGAAATCTTCTGTTTCCCTGTGTGGGGTTGGGGTTGCGATGATAGCAGGTTTTATGCTTTTTGGTGGATTTCCTATGTTTGCATTTCTGTTTATTCTAGTTTTATGTTCTCTTTATTTACTGTGTTTCATGATCTACCCAGCACTTAATACTCCCCCCACAGCTGTTTCTCATTTGCTCAGCATGAATTCTCCTCAGTTCAGTCCCTCCACAGTCAGAATCTCTGTTGCTAATTTGTTTCTAGGTTTTGATATTTAACATCTGTTCTCATCATGCGCCTTCTGTCCTTGTTTGTATGTTTGGTTTCATAATGACAGTTATGTGGCAATATCTGCGTTCAGCAGTTATTGTTTAAAGCCCCAGCAGATGGTCACATCCTGAGGAATCTGTCCCATTGAGCATTTCTTAACACATCACAGAAAATTTTCCAAAAGCAAATACTTGGAAATATTTCTGCAACATAGCTATAATCTAATCACAATATGATCTAACCAAATCCGTTTTGATTTTAAAATGCAGCTTGATGTTATAAGTAGTAGTGCAATCTGTAGCACGTCAACCTTTCAGGATATCTGCACAGTAAGAGCCCTGCATTGCAGTAATGTGCAACTTTTTGTTGTTTTTAGGATCTCCTAAAGGAATCGAGTTTAACTCTGTGAAGGAGGTGCTGATTTCTGTGAAAGCTGTGAAGTCCGTGCACTCGTTGCACCTGTGGGCCCTGACTCTGGGACAATCGCTGGCCTCTGTTCATCTGGCAGTAGGTAACAAAAGACAGAACAAACATCAGCAAAAATCCAAGGCCATGCCGCAAGGGTTTAAATCTCTCGCAGAGGGTTTCAAAGCTGAATGTAAAGCAATTTCTCAGTTAAAGTGAAAAAGAGAGAAATTCGATGCATTTAAATGCGAGAGAAATCTGATGAGTTTAGAAAGATCTGATCACTTTTATGCAGGAGACATTTGAAAATGCTGGCTTTTAGCCATACCTCTCATCTGATTGAAGCCTAAGATTTGTATCGGAGAGAACTAATATGGGTCCTTGTTTTGCAAAAGGAAAACTATATTTTAGTTTGTCATGTTATGGAAATATGTAGCTGTCTTTTCTATGCTAATTTACTCTTCTTATAATTTAGGGCAGGAGTGTAAACTAACTGATATTGGAACATGATTTCTGGTTTCAGCACTAGCTCCGCCAAAAAAATGGGGGTGGCCACAAAAGTATCAATGTGCACTAAGGGATGGCTAGAGAACTGCACCAAAATCAGTTTATATTTAATCTACAGTAACCACACAATACAAATGGGGAAAATGATGAGCACAACATCTGTACTTTCCAAATAAATCAGGACAGACCAGACAAGAGACACATGGAGCAGCACAAGAAAGCCATCTTTGTTAGAAGATAAACCCCATCACTGAACCAGCTGATTGACTGAACAGTGTAATATCAGTAGAGTGGGAGATTGCTGTTTTAAATCAAACAAATACATATATTTGTTTTTCAATATCTTCATTTACAAGGTTGGAGTAATCCCAGATACAAATTTTTTTTATTGCAAATGTATTAGTATTTCAGATAGTTTCTGATGCCATTTATTCCAACAAAGTTCCCACAGAAACCAACCCACAGCATCACAGTCCTTTTGATCATATTCTACTGTGGAGTTGTCTACATATTTAACCTTTGATGCTCATCAGACCCACCTGGAGGCTTTGTCTCTGAAACACTCAGGGCCGGATTTATCAAGATCCAATTTTGCGTGCAGTAATTTGCGCTCGCAAACTGGAATTTTGTGCGAGGGGCTGAACCATGGTTTGCGGGTGATTTAACAAGAGAGATTGTGTAACTGGTGGCAGGTGCAAAACTGTTGGAGGCGCCCTATTTAAATGATGGTTTTGCGCGTTTTGTGGTTTGCGGCAAAGTAGTTTGTAGTTTGTACAAACTAGTGCATTAAGAAATTTTTATCTTACAGTGACCTCCCAAAAAAAAAAAAAATAAAATAAATAAATAAATAAATAAAAAAATTAAAAAAAAATGGTGTTTTGTATTGGCCTGTAGAAAAATGCACATACCAAATGGCTCACAAGAAGTGACTGTGGATGAGATTACTGCGCGTACGCATCCCCGCAGCATTAGCATGTTGCTCCACAGGCGCAGGGGGGAGGTCGGGGTTCTCCGGTAGGGCGTCAGGGCGACATGGCATATAGAACGTCGGACAGCACTTCTGAAAAACTAGATTGGGAGATCCAACGTTGCAAGGAGTTTTGTGATATCTGGTATTGCGTGGGTCCTCCTTGTGGCTGGCTCCAAATCCATTCAGAGTTCCCCCAAAAGCTCCAAAATGGCAATGCTGGATAAACGATATGTTTTGATGATCGTTTCCTGGTTCATTCCAAAAATATTCACACGGAGTGAAAAAATGCGTTCTCTGCGTCTCCTTGCTTCATTTCCATCTTGCGACAATAACCGCTGCCATGTGTGCGCAATTACACATACAGACCATTTGCACCTTCTTTTGAAACGTGTTAAATATAGAGTCAGATACCGTTAGCAAAATTGCTTTCAGGTTTAATAAATCACTTTGCGAGTGCTAAACTAATATATTTACATGTTCTCCTCCCACAAGACGCACTTTTGCGTGTAAACGCCCCATATTGCATATTCATTGCAGAAAAAGTACTAAATGGATAAGAGGCGCTATTTAGCACGTTTTAAAGACCAAATACTTTTAGCACGCTGTTGATAGATCAGTTTGTACATTTTTTAGCGTGCGCAGTGAAATAGCTCACATTTTTATACACGCAAACCTTTGATAGATTCGGCCCTCAGTCTTTGTCTCAACCGAACAAACCCCATAGTCTCCATTTAAAGTCCAAGAAGCATTTAGCAGACTCCATCTATATCTGTGATGGTACAAAAGGAAAGTTTTTTTTTCCTGGCACGCCTCCCTAACCACCAGCTAGAACAGTGTTACTTCGCTTGCTTCCCACCTCACAGTGTGTGATGTGATCCCCATCCAGGATGCTTGTCAAATTTCTAGTTATAAAACTGAGACTTTCTGTAACATCCCATTTACACTCATTTTATACCCAGTTATTCCCAGTTTAACTAAAAGGACCAAAAACATTTGTTTTTACTTTTTTACAAGAGCTGTTCATCTAACAAAAAAATATTGATTTAATTAAAAGGAAATCATTTTGCAACATCTTCTCCAAAGAAGCAAATATTTCTGATGATTTAGACTCTGGCATCTTAACAGGATTTTAAATAGTTGATAATATTAGGAGTCATCAACTAGCATTTTTCCCTCTAAGCTTTAATTTTCTTTTATCTTAGCATCATATTTAATATAAAATAACTGCATATCCTTGAGATTCAACTAACAACCATTTTTTCCCTTCCGTTTCCACATCAGAGGAAGGCGCTGACCCTCAGTCCGTGCTTCAGGAGGCCACAGAGCTGCTTTACAACAAGTTTGGTTTCCAGAACATCACCATCCAGGTTGAGCTTTACACCGAAGAGATGAACCACTGCTCCCACTGCCAGGACCCCAGGGAATGACGTCTGTACCGGAATCAACCGGAACCCAAACGGACTTAGAAGGCTCAGACATGCTTGCAGCATTTTCTCCAGGTTGGGACCAACCACTGATCGATGTGTTACATTCATAATGCAGGTTTCTGATGGAGAAGCAGAACTGATCTGTGGTTTATCAATGATTTTTCACAAGTAGTCAAAAGAAATTACACAGAAAAATCATCCATGTGTTTGTAAAAGCATGCAGATGGTGGGTTTCCATGCTGACAGTGGACGTCTGTGTAAATGTTTAGTTTTTAATCAAAGGTTGTGACGCATTTTCTTTTTACTTTATGAAGAAACCATTTTACAAGAACACTGTTATTAAAGCAGAGAAAACATCCTGGCTTGAAATATGCCCTGACATAGAGTATTATTGGGTAGAAACATGATGAATAATTTTAATTAACTGCATTGATTTAATGGTGAATTCAAACTCAGTTCTTTTACTGAATCCAAAAATTAATTTACTGTATAGTAAATCTAAAAAAAGGAAAACAGTGTCAACAGAGAATAAGAATGTATTTAATCAAACTTGTCACTTTTCCACTGCCGCTTGTCTTGATACGATGCGTTCAAGTGTCTCTCTCTGTTTCTAAACACTTTTTTTTAAAAGTAAGTTGAAAACACTGCCTGATACTAGCAATTGTACGCCATTGGTTTTAGATATTATATTATTTCCTATCCCTTTTGTTCTAGAAAGATAAAGTACCAGAGATAAATGGATACCTAACCACTAAACACGTGTGGTCACTCATAGTTGGTTTCCCCTTCTAGTTCCAGTAGTAGACCTACAGTAAATCCTCGCCTCTAAATGTTCTTGGTTCAGTTCAGTAGCTTTGATTTTTGTGAAATATAAAAAAGCAGAAAATTTGTTTATTTGCTCAAATATTTGTATTTTCTATCAAGAAGTGGCCAAAAATTAAAACATTACTTCACAGAGGCTGCAGTTGGACACCTTTTAAAGTTCACAAAGCTTTTGTAGAAATTGTTCTGGGTAGCATATTAGAGTAACGTCTTTCGACCGAATTGAGCAAACTGTAGCTCCTAGTTTCTGTTCCTTCACCTTTGCAATCAACAGTATGAAAATTATCATTGGTAGGAAAGAAACTGTGGACCGCAGAGCTTTCCACCTGGTGGTAAACAATCATGGAAACTACTCGTCAAAATTGGGACTAATGCTACGTTCACACCCAACACCATTTCAGCTGCGAAAAGCCTCTGCTGCTTGATTTTTTGATGCTTGTACACATTAAGGTCAGACGCAAGTAAAGTGTGTTTTGATGCATGTGATGCTTCTGCTGCTCCTGTGTTCAATGGCAAGCCCCGCCTGCTTTGCATCCAGAAATTCAAAACACATCTCTGCATTGTGATTGGCCGGCCAGTTTGTAGGGCCTGGGGCATTGATCGAGGCTAAACCACTCGCAGGCAAAAATGATTTTGGCCGCTGGTGGGTGAGGCTAGTTTACTAGGCTAAAATACTATAGCAATTTATTTTATATCTCGTTTTGTAAGCCAGGGTAGAATCAGCTCTGGGCAAAAGTGACTTATAAGCAGTGTTGGGAAAGTTCTCTTTCTACGTGAACTAGTTCAAAGTTCAGTTCACACATTTTAAAATGAACTAGTTCAGTTCATAGTTCATAATTCAAAATTTTGAACTAAGTTCACAGTTCCAAAAAATGAACTAGTTCTTTTTTTTTCTTCATATATTGCTCAATTACACCATAGCCTACTGTAGAACCACAGACAGTAATTATTTTATCAGTTGTAACACTGAAACTGTGCGTCAGATTTCATCTTCATATCCAGTTTTGAATCCTTATCCAACCAGGGTTTACATTAGCATTGAGGGGACAGATTTCCCCATTGTTGCTTTAATGCTTTGTTGCTGTCCATTCACTTCACACTAGTAGCAGCTGCAGCTTTCACCCCTACAGTATATTCTCAAAAACATCAGGAAAAATGTGCTGCTTGAATGGTCTTTTTTATGAGGAATTATTAAAAGAAAAACAGGAAAGTAGTCTTTAAGGTGCAAATGTTTTTTTTTTATCATTTTAATATTTTTTTCCATTTGAAATTTCATTTCAGTACATACTAAAAAGGAATACTGGAATCCTGGAAAATTATACCAGGCAGGTTAAAGTGCGGATTTTTTTTTTACTGAAAGCCGGCGGCAAAGTTTGCAGAGAAATGTAAGATTGTTGCCATCATCCTCACCGACCACCTGGTCATAAACCTGTTTTAAGTGATCATACTGCTGCTTTGTCGCATCCACGGTCGTCTCCATGCTGCTGCGGCTTCCACGCTCCTTTTTGATTTGATGACGCACGCGGCTGTAGGCTACGACACTGGTAGCTGGTGTTGCCAGATTGGGTGTTTTTCCCGCTACATATTAAGGCCTGTTTACGGTGTGATTTAGCTGGGGTTTCGCCTGGAGGGCTCTATAGAAATCTGGCAACCTATTGAACGGAGTTCAACTGAGAGAGCGTGCCGTTCACAGACACCAGAATGAACGAGTTCACAATAACGTTCATCAGGCAGTAATGCAGTACGTTCGGTTCACGTTTGCCCAAAATATGAACGAGTTCATGAACTTTCGTTCAATGAACGCGTTCAGGCACAACACTGCTTATAAGTAATGGGGAAATAGTGTAGTCAGTCTCCTCTCTTCTGGCTGCAGGCAGGGTTTTATTGCTGCATAATGAAGCTGCTAAGACTGATCACCTGTCAATTCTTTGTAGGTGGGAGGGGCTTACAGCAGCACTCTCTGCTTGTTGAAGGCAGTGGGTCCATCCATATACAGTGAATTGATTAGGATTTTTAAGTTAAAATATTAATGCAACAGTGGTCGCCATGAAAAAGGTTGTCTGAATAGTGCTGGAGGTAAGGAAGGAGGTAGGAAAAGGAGAACACTTCCTATCATGGTTGGCATAGGGTCCTCCTGAAGTTCCTTTCCTACCAATTAATCTGTGCTGTGTCTTATTCTTACTGTTGACCTGACAGAATGTGAAGGACTTTGTCAAAATCAACAGATCTGTCATCTATGACTTCAAAATAAATCACTAGAGGAGTCTTGAAAGTTGCTAAATATAGCGACAAAGACAATAAGTTGGCAACAGTAGGAAAGGCTAGAAAGCTGGTACTACTTTTTAATGTCATCGCTACAAATAGAAACATTTAAAATATAAGTGGAACCTTGCAGAACTGCAGAGTTGGCCAAAGTTGAAAATGTGTAATATAATCCCAATCATAGAGACTTGGCATCAACTTATCTACTGTAGAGAAAAAAAAGAATGAGTGAGCAGAAGTTTGTTTTTATGATTTAAAATAGTCCCAAAGCAGTTTTGGGTTGTAGAATAGCTTCAGAAACGGAAGAATTTTGTGCCAAACAAGCACAAACGTGGACTAAACACTGAAATCAGTTGGAAAAAACTGTTTTTCCATTCATTGGACCGTTGCTACTTTTATGTTACTAATATAATAAGCCACACAAAGTGCTGATTATACCAAAAGAGGAAGAAATAGAGCCATTATTTGCAAAACAAGCTTTGAAGTTCACTGATTCTATTACTTATATGAAAAAGGAAATTTAATTTGCACAAATGGACCTTAGAACATTCAGATAATAAACCTAAGATGTTAATATGAAGCACCTGCAGATTTAAACATGGATGAATTTAAAAATTTGACCACCAGAGATTTACACGTTTACCAAAACTCTTATCCTAACATGTTTTTTCTTTGTAATTTGAAAAGATCCACAAAGCAAATCCAAATTTCAGGTTTGTTTATATTTGTCATCCTAATGGCAGTGGTGAAAACAGGCCTCCATAGTTTTCTCAGGTGGACGAAAAAGCTGAAACTAAATCTCTTGCGTCTCTGTAGTATCCACAGGTGGTTAGTGTCACATGAAGAAAGAAACCCTCCTGAGATCAATCACTGTGAAAAAAATCAACATGTAAAAAGTTTGTAGGAAATAGAAAAGTCTGGAAAGAGGACCTGTTTTATGAAATCTCTAATATGCGCACCGCTGGAACCAGTCCCCAGAACTTGATGTATAAGATCAGTTTGTGGGGAATCATCATGTAAATTTGTTAAGAAAAAGAATAAAGACCATTTAGAAATTGTAAGCTATTTTCTGAGACAGAATGATTTAGAATTAAGGTTTTTAGATGTCTTTATTGTCTAACATTTCCCTTGAATATCTGCAAATATCAAGTTTCAGGACTTGATCTTGATTATTTCTTTGTTTTATAAAACAATTTTGTATTTCAGTATGAGCCTAATTTTCTTGAATTTGTTCAAAATTTAAAAAAAAGTTTCAAGATTTGATGAGTTGCTCAAATTTAACAAAAAACTGAAGCAATTAAGTCTATTTTATTTTAGTGAATACCATTAGAAGCATGTCTTTGTTTTTTGCATCTCAGATGATTTTTCACCAAATAATCCAAAGCAAACTGAAATATAAAAAAACCCAACACGAAGGATGAATAAAACTGTCAGACTGAACAACGATCCAGACGACTCTAACATTCGGTCCGATGGAACCGTCAAGTCAGAGGGCAGAAATGATTTAGTTCTGCAAACGGACGATTAGTTTCAGCGTGGCGCCGTCATCCATCTCTCACTGCTGCAGGATTCATCCGTTTAGAGAATGTTCCTTCATTCTGCGAGCTTGTATCTGCCCTTTGTCATCAATCCATTTCTGCAAGTCACGCAACAGTCATTTAATATTTAACTAGTGCTATTCAGAATTGAAAGAATAGAAAAGGGGAACTTCCTCAATTATTTCTGCATATCTAAATCCAAACCATGATCAACGCCATAGTGAGCTGAACTCACCTAAATGCTTGCAGAAGTTTTGACGAAGCTGAAGGTGATTTACAACAAGGAGACGCTTAAACAGTCTAATTAGTCCCAAAATTATGTGTTATTTCACATGATTAAACAGCTCAGCTGGACTGTTGCATTACAGCTCATGGTTTAACGGCCCTTCGACAGAAAAATGAAAGTAATAAAATTATAGTTAAATTTGAATAAGCCATTATTCTTAAAACATAATGACCAGGCACCAAAAAAGCAATAAAAAATTTACACAGTCTTTTAAATCTCAAGATATCTAAAATATCTCAAGTTTATTTTATTGGGATAATGCGTATATACTTAGCTAATACTGTTTGAGACTTTGGATAAAAAAAGTATTTAAATCCACATTATTTGTCACTCTAAAAATGTTATTAATCAAGCAAACATAATCATCCATCCATCCATCTTCTTCCTCTTATCCGGGGTCGGGTCACAGGGGTAGCAGCTTCAGTAGGGAGGCCCAGACGTCCCTCTCTTCAGCCACTTGGGCCAGCTCCTCCGGGGGAATCCCAAGGCGCACTCAGGCCAGCCAAGAAACATAGTCCCTCCAGCGTCTTCTCGGTCTCCCCCTGGGCCTCCTCCTTGTGGGACGTGCCCGGAACACCTCACCTTTGGAGATGTCAAGAAAGCAACCTAACCAGATGCCTGAGCCACCTCAACTGGCTCCTCTCGATGTGGAGGAGCAGTAGCTCTACAGCTGAGCCCCTCACCCCATCTCTAAGGAAGAGCCCAGACACACTACAGAGAAAACAAATTTTGGGCGATTGTCATCCACTCTCGCCTCCTTGCCACCGAGCTGCTTTTTAACCACCTTGACGACCTCAGAACCAGAGATGGGAGACCCTGACTCAGAACCCCCAGGCTCTGCTTCCTTAATGGAAGACATGTTGGTGGGATTAAGGAGGTCTTTGAAGTACTCCGCCCACCGACACCCAACGTCCCGAATCGAGGTCAGCAGCAGACCACCCCCACTATAATTAGTGTTGGTACTGCACTGTTCCCCCTCCTGAGACGCCGGATTGTGGACAGATAATCATGTTATTTTTAACTGAGTGGGTTAAATCATACATCTTTTAATTCTTTTTTTTATTTTTATAACAGTGTCCTGTCTGGCAATGTGGCAATAAGAATAATTGTCTTGATGCCAAAAAGAGCCCAACAGATTTTACTTTCACAAGTGTAGCAGTACGGCAATTGCCATATTGCTCCACTTGTTTCATGCATATAAATTGCTTTATTATAATTATGCAGGGAGTTTTACAGTTTATATGGACACTGCAATGTAAATAGAGCAGAAAAACAGAAGAAAAAGGAAAAAAGAAAAAAAAAGAGAAAAGATGAAAGAAAGAGAAGATAGAAAGGAGACAATGACAAAACATTTTCAGTCTGCTTCATCACCTGCTACATCTTTTAATTCAAGCAACTCAACTGGGCATTTAATTTATTATTAGAGTATGCAGTTGTTGTTTTTAATGCAGTGTTTTCATCTTTTGTTGCAAACTTTTCCTTTGCTGCAGAAAAAAATAAAGAATTATTCTATACTTCAAGTTTATTCTTATACAAATAATATACAAAAATTAAAAAGATAGTGGATGACTCTGGAGAATAGCACTTACAACTTATTTTTAAGTATTAGCTTGTTGAACCTAGAATAGTGTAGATAATTTGGCCTACTTAAAAATAAGAACCCCCCCCCCCCCTCAAAACAGGATTTCAAAATAAACTCTTTAACTAAATGGAAAGGAAAATTATCCCCTTATAAACATCAATTTGTTAAAAAACATAATCATGCTAGTCATGATTTGCACTAATGCTGTTCATTTAAAAAAAGCAATTCCCCTTTTTTCCCCTGATTAGTTTGAGCATACTCAGCATATGGCTGATGTTAAGTGTTGCACATTTGGAATATTGTTGGCATTGATTTCAAACGTTTGCATGGTTGTTCGCCGTTATTAAAGTATACTGAGATTTCTCTTGTTCAACTGCCAATCAGTTTTTCCCTAAAATCCTTAAAATATACTCTTTTATTTAAAAGAAAATATGTGTATGTTTTTTTTTTAAGTCTATGTTCTAAACAGCAACCAAGAATTAAAAAGTCTACAATTTCATAAAAACCAATGTCTAAAAGTTTGATATTCATGCGTGGTCAAGGTTCTGGTGCAGCTTTAATGTCTGAAAAGGTTTAAGAAATAAAAAAGCACTTTTTGCCGTGAAAGTTTAACGTGTTTTTGTGCCGTTGCTGTTTGTGGCGATTCTGCTCCACCTGCGTGTTGTAAATATGTCCAAAAAATGAGTTTTCAGTGTATGAGCTGTGTATACATGTGTAAATACATTTGTGTTTCCTGTACAATCAACCTTCATAAAATGACATAAAAATATGTAATATCTGTGAAATTTGCCGTCTCATTTTTATGTGCAAGAAGGAATCTTGCAAAGTGGAATAAAAGAATAAAAGAAGAAGAAAAATCTCAATTCTGTTTGTTTTTCCTTCTAAAAAAGATGATTTAGTCTTTTTTATATATATAAAAAAAACTTTATTGTGAGTAACATTTCAAAAATACCAATGAAAAAGAGGTTTTCTGGGTTTATAATTATAAATAAAATAATGTTGAAACATGTCAGACAATCTCAGCAATCTGTCCGTGACATAACTTAAAACTTTAAAATCTGTAACTGAATTTAGAGGCAAGTGATTCCGAAAATAAGACTCAATTAATCCCTTTTTATAGACTATAACTATTTACAATAGATCTTACAAAAGAAAAAATCCAAAGACAGAAATTATAAATTAGCAAAATATACAACCAGCATATATATATATATATATATATATATATATATATATAGTATATATAGATATAGGTAGATATAGATATATAGATTTATCTATATATATATATATATATATAGAGATATAGTATATTTATATATATATATATATATATATATATATATATATATATATAAATATATAGTATATATAGATATAGGTAGATATAGATATATAGATTTATCTATATATATATATATATATATATATAGATATAGTATATTTATATATATATATCTTTTATTAATTAATTGAGTCTTATATATATATATATATATATATATATATATATATATATAAATATATATCTATATCTATATATATATATATATCTATATAGATATAGATATATAGATATATATAGATATATATAGAGAGAGAGAATTTCAAGTATTTCACCAAACAGGCCTGAGTTTCTGTGTTGCACAAACCAGATTATCAACACTGAAGTGGAAAATGTGAAGACTTCTAATATTCAGAACAAAAAATAAACAAAACAAAAACAATATCCAAGGGCAAAGCACATATTATTGCTAAAAATAAAGTGGATAAAAAGGCACAATTTTCTAAAATAAAAATCATTCTGACGAAAATCTGCTTTACTGTTAAGATTCCAGAGATGAGCAGTTTTTGCTGTTCAAGGACCATAATCATGCGTACCATATGGATTTAAGGTGGTATCTGCTGTTAAAAGCTGTGGACATAATGCATATTCCAGCACACCTGTGGTGTCTGCGCGTTTCAAAACATGGCTCCTCTTCTTTCATTTCCCCACGTTGACCTTTAAGCGCTACCATGCAGTCATGTTCTGAAGTGGCTTGAAACAACATAGTTCTGCAAACATAACATTCATATCTGCTTTTAGAACGGGATAAGGTTTATTTAAAGGTTTTGTATTTTTCTTGATTGTTGAGTGAGGTAGAGCTCCGGCTATAGCTGCTCCTTCTTGACCCCATCGCCTTGGTTCTGTCCTGAGAAGAGCGTTCTGAAGTGGACCTGATGATTACGAGTCATTTTCTCGAATTGGGGGGTGATAAAAGTCCTCACGCAGTGAAGTCTTACCAGACCTGACTGACCCCCGGAGGCGACCCAGACGTTGTTGCTCATGTTCGGGTTGAAGCGTGCCTAAACGGAAGAGCAAAGACCCTGGTTAAAAATACATCCACAATGGAAGGACACAGGGGTTTGATGCTGCTGGAAGTCCAGCTTTTCAGAGGAGACAGAAAAAAAAACACTTATAGGGAACAAATTACACACAAAATCAATGCTTAATGTGGCCCACATAGCCAAACTAGACCTATTTTACTTATACTTTAATTATCATGCTTAACAGTGTGGGGGGAAAAAATATGGTGCAAAAAAACGCATTGACATGGAAACAATAAATATATATGGAGAAATGATGCCGTGTTTTGGTTTGGTGTTGCCAGTTTGATGCAGAGTCAAACTTGTCAGGGTGCTGCAGAATTTGTCCTCCAGCAACCTGACAACAATGGAAAACAGGATTTTATTTAAGAACATTAAACTTCCATTATTTATTTACCTTTCTTTCTTGTAGGGTTGTCAGAATAATATTGTTTCAAACTCAATATAAACACAGAGGAAAAAGTTTGACACTTGATAAAAGATGAAGAGCAATTAAAGATATAAGAAATATTTGTATTTAAATGAGAAACACCTTTTTCAATCTTAATTTTATTTATCTTAACAGCATCCTACGTGATAAATTTGCACACATAAATACACACAGTACAGTTTATTATATTTTAAGGCTGTCTGATGCATTATTCTTCTAATATTAATTGGAATTATAATAATATTTAACAGCAAAAATATGAAAACAACACTTTATATCTGTAGTTTTGATACCAAACGTGTTTGAGTCTCAATACTTGTGGAAACCTTACTTCTTCGTTTACTAACTATACTTACTATTTCCCTTCCTTCCCTCCTTTCTTTTGAATCTATTTCTTTGCTAACTTACACTTAATTATCTTAATACTATATTGAAACTTCTATTATGTACCTAATTCCTTCAATTCGGATTGACTTGCTGATTTCTTCCCTGACTTGCTCATTTAGTTTCCTTTCTTCCTTAGTTCTTTCCTTGATGTAACTTCTTTCCCTGCTTGCTTTACTACTTGCACCTTTTTCCTTCCAAGCTGACACATCTACTCAGTTTCTTATCTAATGATTGATTAATTGATTAACTTTATTGATCTCATAGTGGAGAAATGAACTTGTTACATCAGCTCAATAGTCAAAGAATAAGACTGAGCCAAAGGAAGAAAAAGGTGCATGAATATACACTCACCGGCCACTTTATTAGGTACACCGTCCAACTGCTCGTTAACACTTATTTTCTAAGCTGCCAATCACATGGCGGCAACTCAGTGCATTTAGGCATGTAGACATGGTCAAGACAATCTCCTGCAGTTCAAACCGAGCATCAGTATGGGGAAGAAAGGTGATTTGAGTGACTTTGAACGTGGCATGATTGTTGGTGCCAGAAGGGCTGGTCTGAGTATTTCAGAAACTGCTGATCTACTGGGATTTTCACGCACAACCATCTCTAGGGTTTACAGAGAATGGTCCGAAAAAGAAAAAACATCCAGTGAGCGGCAGTTCTGTGGGCGGAAATGCCTTGTTGATGCCAGAGGTCAGAGGAGAATGGCCAGACTGGTTCGAGCTGATAGAAGGGCAACAGTGACTCAAATAACCACCCGTTACAACCAAGGTGGGCAGAAGAGCATCTCTGAACGCACAGTACGTCGAACTTTGAGGCAGATGGGCTACAGCAGCAGAAGACCACACCGGGTGCCACTCCTTTCAGCTAAGAACAGGAAACTGAGGCTACAATTTGCACAAGCTCATTGAAATTGGACAATAGAAGATTGGAAAAACGTTGCCTGGTCTGATGAGTCTCGATTTCTGCTGCGACATTCGGATGATAGGGTCAGAATTTGGCGTCTACAACATGAAAGCATGGATCCATCCTGCCTTGTATCAACAGTTCAGGCTGGTGGTGGTGGTGTCATGGTGTGGGGAATATTTTCTTGGCACTCTTTGGGCCCCTTGGTACCAATTGAGCATCGGTGCAACGCCACAGCCTACCTGAGTATTGTTGCTGACCATGTCCATCCCTTTATGACCACAATGAACCCAACTTCTGATGGCTACTTTCAGCAGGATAATGCGCCATGTCATAAAGCTGGAATCATCTCAGACTGGTTTCTTGAACATGACAATGAGTTCACTGTACTCAAATGGCCTCCACAGTCACCAGATCTCAATCCAATAGAGCATCTTTGGGATGTGGTGGAACGGGAGATTCGCATCATGGATGTGCAGCCGACAAATCTGCGGCAACTGTGTGATGCCATCATGTCAATATGGACCAAACTCCCTGAGGAATGCTTCCAGCACCTTGTTGAATCTATGCCACCAAGAATTGAGGCAGTTCTGAAGGCAAAAGGGGGTCCAACCCGTTACTAGCATGGGGTACCTAATAAAGTGGCTGGTTTTGTATAGGATCAGTATACCGGGTTATTGCACAGGGTGTTAACATGGGTATTTATATGGATGGATATTCATATTTATATAATTATTGCACTGGGTGTCAAATATAGAGAAACAGGTTATTGCAAATGGTATCAAATGGTAAATTTCACATTATACATTGCACAAGTTATTGCCGTTGTAGTGTTGCATTGTAGAGTCCCTTTCTTACAGTTTATTTCCTACCTTCTGTGTATGTCTGCCATTCTGATGCTAGACTTTATTCTTTTTTAAGATAAATTCCTCTATAATCATTTTAGCTTCTGTTAGAAAGCACTCATGCCGTTATTCATGAGGACTTTTCTCCTCCCCTTTTTTCACCTCTGAATGAATTAGCTGTCACTCGTAGGAACTCAATAAAACTCCTCACTCAATCTTCTCTAAAAAAGCGCATCGCCTTTCCTCATAAATCCGTTGCTTTTACTTCCTCATCCCTTTTTCTTCTCCATTTATTCTCATCAGACAAAGAAAAAGAATCTAGTCAAAAACTCTTAAAGCCTTTTTTGCTCAAAATTTGACCCATCGAGTGACAGTCGATCACTTCACCCCGAAGGGCAAAGCCACTCCCTCTGCTCTCCCTCTTGAAATTAAACACATCATATCCTCAAATGGCTGCTCTTCATCTCCCCCCCCTCCTTCCTCCTGCTGGGAGTGACATTTTTCTCATTTTCCACATCATTACATCTGGCCTGACTTTATCGCTGCCCATCAGAGGAGGAGGCAGACCTCACCTTTCCCTCTTGTTCTAGACTTTATCTGTTCGTTTACCATTTTTCCTTCCTTGCTTGTGTTTCAGAATATGGCTGAAGTGTGGGAGTGTGTCAAAACGTACCTTGAACAGAGCAGCCAGGGGCATTTCATCTATGCTTTCAGCCCTTAGTTCTGGGCCATCCATGTGTTTCCACAAAGTCCGCTTTTCAAGTCCTGCAAGGCTTTCCTGAAAATAAGCAGGAACAATCATCGGTGTGAGGTATTCAACTAATTCAATTCAATTCAATTCAGTTTATCCATATAGCGGCAATTCACAACACATATAATTTCAAGGCACTTTACAGTTAAACCAGATCATCCAGTCAAATTGATTCAAAGTTTTCTATCCAAGAAAAACCAGTTGATTGCATCGACTCATTGACTCGAAGGCAATCCCTCACAATAAGCATGCTTGTAGTGACAGTGGAGAGGAAAAACTCCCTTTTAACAGGAAGAAACCTCCAGCAGAAGCAGGCTCAGTGTGAGCGGCCATCTGCTGAGGTTAACTGGGGTTCAAGGAGACAGAAGCAGAGATACAAAAAGCAGCTGTAAAAGGCGGCCCGTAGTACCATATTACATGTGGTACTAATTTGGCAGCAACAAAAGTTACCATCATATTTATTCTTTATGATTATTTACTCCAATCTAGTATGTAAAATAAACCGTTATTGTGCGCAGTTTGAATTTTCAGAAGTTTTAGCCTATTTATTTTAAGTGAGGAAGATTAGTTTCAAATATGACTTTAAGGTAAAAGCTAACTGCTGGGAGAATAAATGTCTATAGTGAAGATGAGGGTTGACACACAGATAAGATGGATTATTTGCAGAGATGGGAAGTAACGAGGTACAAATACTTCGTTACTGTACTCAAGTAGATTTCTCTGATATTTTTACTTTACTTTACTACTTATTTTTATGGCGACTTTTTACTTCTACTCCTTACATTTTTACACAAATATCTGTACTTTCTACTCCTTACATTTTAAAAAATTGGCTCGTTACTTTAGTTTTGAATCATTTCAATGGAGTTACCGTTATTATTTTTCACGTCATCAATACCAAATTCAATCTAATTGGATGGAATCTACGTTGCATTTGACGCACCACTACAAGATGAATCAACAGATTCTGCGGTATTCATTGGCGGCAAATCATTGCAGCTTGGTGGCGGTGGCGTTAGCATAGTAGCATGGACGACGAGATGATTGAAAATGAACACAACGGAGATCTAGTCCTATTGGCAGACATCCATTTAAAATGTAGGCAACGGCATGAAAAAAGTGGTTTCTACTTTTACTTTTATACTTTAAGTAAATTTACAAGCCTGTACTTTGTTAATTTTACTTGAGTAAAGAAGTTTAATCAGTACTTCCACTTTTACCAGAGTATTTTTTAACACAAGTATCTGTACTTTTACTCAAGTACGGAAAGTGAGTACTTTTGCCATCTCTGATTATTTGATGGGAAGGTGTCTGGATGAACTGGTACATCGTTACTTGGTTAACGTGGATTATAGTGCAGAATTGATTTTTAATTGATTTGAATTGATTGATTTTGAGTTTATCTAGATTTATATTCAAGCAGAGTTGGGCATGAGACACAATTAATATTATAAGTGTTCTGATGGCATTTTAGTGAAAGGATTTTTATCAAAAACATAATTAATGTGCAGAAATAAGGAAAAGGTTGTATTAACCATACATGTAAACAGAGTTTTTTATTGGGCCCCCCAGTTTTATGGGGCCCTAGGCAACTGCTTGGTATTGCCTAATGGTGCAGAGAATAAGATAGCTAACTGGGGACGAGCATGTAGGACGGCCTTGCATAAACATATGCAACATATATTAGGAGGACCACTTATTTTGATGATCAACCCAGAAATAAAAATCCTCCACGATACCTTTAATACCCCATCTACACTACCCTTGAAAAACCAATCCATGACGAGACCAGTCCGAGCTCGGATCAGTTAACCAGGCCGAGCTCGGTTCTGATGACCGTTTAAACATCTTGCTATTTCGGTTCCTCGACTCCTCGCCTCCTAGTGGCGATCTGTGGTATTACTGCCAGTATTGAAGGAGGAAATCAAGCAGTTGGTGGCGGTAATGCACCAAAAGTTGTTTGCCAACCGCCATAAAACACAAGAAAAAGAAGACGAAGAAAGAGGGAATCAAGCAAATCAAAATGGCGGCGCCCGTCACACTCAGAATGTTATGCTTGATTATTATTGCTGTACTTCGGTGTTTGCGGAGGGTCAGGCGAAGACGGCAACCTTTCGTGGATTTACTTGAGAAAGTAAATTTATAGTTATAGTTGTTCTTCTTCTGTTTTGTGTTGGTTGGCAAGCAACTTCCGGAGGGGCGTTACCGCCAACTACTGGAATGGAGTGTGAATCGCGATGTGCAGCCGGACGGAGATGACGCGTTCTGCTCATGCGCTCTTGTTATCAGATAACCGAGCCGAGCCCACCTCTGGAACTGGTCTGCAGTTATCTCGGTTCAGTTGTGTCTAACTCGGTTCAGTTCAGTTTGCTGTGCATTTACACACGATAAGTTATCTCAGTTACTGAGCTCGGACCGGTCCCGGCACTGTTTTTCAAGGGTAGAGTAAATGGGGTTTGAGACTCAATGATGTTGAATATAAACACACTTTCCAGTAAATGAATCTAAGATAAATCCAACATTACTAAAACTGCTTTTTTTGGATATACATTCAGGAGTAAATTGACATGTTAGATATAAATAGGTAAGAGTTAAGTTATTTATGCTGTGATTTCAACCAATCAATTAATACCAACTCATAAACATCACTTTTGTATTTAAAGACCATAAACCTACCATGTCAAAGTCTTTATAGTGCAGGTAGTATTTTTTGACGGCCTCTTTGTACGTCCCAAACTGTAGCTGAGGACTTGCGTCTGTTCTAACTGTTGCTCCGTCATTTTCCTCCCCGTTTGTTCTTCCAGCTTCTGATTTTTCCGTCTCACCTGTTTCCTGCCCATCACTAACAGCTCCTCCATCTTTCCTGCCTTTATTTTTACCTGCAGTTGCTTCAAAAGGCACCAAAGATGTGAAGTAGGCAGGCTGAGGGGAAATGATTAATGAAAGAGATTTGAAAAATGCTTGAAACTTTGGTAAAATAATAAAAATAATAATTTTCATTTAACTTACAAAACGTCTCAAGTGCGTTCTCTTAATGTAGGTTTGACCGCTGGTAGTTGGCGGTAACATAGAGAGAATCACACCACCGTGCACATCTGAAGACAACACGCTGTTCAGCCAATCAGAGTGAGACAAGGCCTGCAAAAGACACAAACGGATCGACTGTAAAACTTCAGTGAAAACATTCAGAAAAGGAAAAACTTTAAAAGCAATAAATGTTATTAGAAAGTATAAAAAACTGTTCATGGAAACATTCGGCCTACGTTCTGGTTGAGGGGATTTTTTTCACCGAATATTTTTCCTAAAAGTAAACTGAGCATAATGGGAGTAAAATTATTGTTCCTTTTGGAGTCACATGTTAAGAGAAGGGATTGACTAAAATCATTATTTTATGACTACGTTTATCAAAACACTCCAACATATAAGGTCATGTTAATATGTATTTACTGACAGGAATGTGAAATTTAAAAAAGTAAGAAAAAAGACCTAAGTAAAGGTATAGTGGACAGTCTTCTACCATCAGTCCTACATGCCGACCTTTATGACGTGCTCACCTAACCGTGGTTCTTGCTAGCTGAGCACCGCCAGTAATTCTGTGACTATTTTGCGTTGCTTTTAGCCTTTCTGTGTTACTCATTGAATTGTCTGAAAGTACTTTAAATATGAAATTATTACATACTTTTTAGTAAATAAAAGTGCTTTTAATTAAACTGGAGACATCCATGTTTGTCAAAGATCGCTACTGCCACCTACTGGTTTGTGACGTCACGGTGCGGTATCGGCTGATGATCAAGTCCCAGTGCTGTATCTGGTGTTTGTCACAACGCGCTATTATCCAAGTCGTCTTGAAAAACATTGTTCTTCCAAATGTTGGCTACATATTACGTGTTTTTTCTCTGGCTAGAAGTTCGATGGAAAAACCCTTCCTATTCAAGTTGGAAATCCAACGACGTACCAGTCCGTGGAGGATCAGGAATCGGAAAGGTGAAATAACAAATTTTTTTTTCCACTTTTATCCGATGTATTCCAACATCCAACTGCCATGCACTTGGGCATTGTCAGTTTCACTATAGCTCTGGTGAATTTCAATGGTGAAGTCCTCTGGAAATCTTCAATAATTGTTGTTGATTGCAGATGTGTCTAGTAGTTCCCATTGATTTTTCTTGTAAAGCGGGGAGAATGGCGCTAGGCTTACCGCACAGTGACGTCACTGCCGGAAGATGTCAGGAGGGAGGGGCTACTATATTTTGTCGCTTCATTCTGGACAATATTTATGATAAATTTGAACTTTATTTTAAAGATGTTTTATTTGGAATCACAAAATATAAAAAAGAACTTTCTGAACATTTCTTCTTATGTAATCTTCTGTTGCTGTTGGCCAAGTTTTATATCCACAAATGTAAAATTATTGTGACTAAACCCTCCTGTATTTCTTTTTTAAAGGAAACTACTACTTATTTTTCTACATTGTCCTCCTCCAATAACAAAAAAGCTGCTAAAACTATAACTTTATGCTCTAAATTTAAAGTATTTATATAATCCCTTTATATGCTTCTATCTATTATTACTATTTGTACTTTTATTTAATTGCTATTTATTTTTTTATTTTTCTCAAACCCCTGGTGATTGTTCATTGCAAATTGTTTATTTTTCTGTATTGTTAAACGTTTTCTAATAAAGTTTATAAAAAAAAAAAAAAAAAAAAGGTGTTACTATATTTGGGCAAAAATGGCCAAATAAAATAGTTTTTTTTTTTTTACTGATTAATGCTAAATTCATTAAATCACAGCAAATCTGTTAGTTTTAGGTATAAATTATGATCCATTGACTTTTCCATTAACAATGAAATAGACCATAATCCGAGCTGTGCACGAGGTCAAAGGTGCTCATGTAGATTAGATAGGCGCCCCCCTGGGGGGTGGCAGAGCAGGTAGAAGCAATTCTACAAATTCTCCACTATACCTTTAACCAAACATCTTATGATCCTGCTGCAGTGCCTCTACGGACCTAGTAGAGGTCATAGCTGGACACCACAGATTTAGACCAAGAGGTCAGAAGGAACCACTCACCCAAACAGATATACCCCGAGGAATGGGAAAGTAGCTCGGCGCGCAGTGGTTAAGATAATGAACTCCTATTGAATGTTTCCTGAAACAAGAAAAACAAGAAGGAGAAAAAAAAAGAAGAAATCAGAACAAATTCATTAGGACTAAATTAGTTCTGATGTGTGAAAGTTCAAAGTAGGTATTGTACCAGTCACACAGTGTCCAGTTTACCTCTAGCTTCTAAAATGCGGTCTCTAAAATCTTGTGTATCTATTCCAATACATTTTTTAAACATCAATCTTTGTACTAAAATATTGTGTCACGATGTGTGGACTTTAAGATCTAAAGAGAAGCGTCATCTCCTGTTCAGACCCAGTAATTCAGTGAAAGGGTGGAGTCAGAGTAAAAGAATATGCACACCCAGGAGAGGGGAGGGGGTCACTCCAGTAGCTGGAGGTTGGCTGCAATGACTGGGAAGGGCCATTTTGAATGGCTGCTACTGTATATCATCAATCAACACAATTTCAATTTAGTACAAGAGATAGAAAACAGCTGCATTTGGATCTATAAAATCTAAAATATTTCTTTCAGAATGTCAAAGGGACACAAAACATTTCTAAATTTTCAAATTTTTTAGTAGAAGATATGAAGCTTTCTGGTTGCGTTTTTATCCAACTTCTGGAGCAAAAATCTCTCTGTACAGTGAGAGAATAAAACTTTTACTCTCGTCCTTCGTTTCAGTTCACAGCAGTTTTTGATCAGAAGCTGCAACCGTTCAATTTAACTCAAAACACAGTTTCAGTCCTTTTTAGCTTATTTCTTCTAAAATAAACACACTGTGGTTATTTTCAGGTTTATTCAATGATGATTATAAAGTTAATGTATGTGCATATGGAACTTTAAAGAAATTAGATGCTTCACTCTGTTTACTGCAAACTGTCATGCAACAGTGGTAGAAAATTGCTGATGTTTGTGCAAGGATAATCACAGTTATCGAGAGACCACTCTATTCTGTGATTCAATCAGAAGGAGCATTTCCTATGACCTGATCAATTGCCTTGTCAGAAGAACACTATTCTGTAACCCACCCCATGTGTTATGATCTGCTAATAAAAAGGCTTCTGCTGTGGAAACCCACCAGAGAGCAGATGTGGCTGAATGTGGCTCTCTCCCTCTGCAGAGGCCAAAAATCCCTATTCTGTGCAGACTCAGTTTCTCTTTTATGAACCTATATTTTTGAACGTAACAGTTATAATTACACATATTTATTCCATGATATATTTGTAAAGGCATTAAAGCTATAGAATTGAAAAAGATATATCCAAAAATAAGAAAGACGGAGGATAAATGAAAGAGTAATGAATAAATGGATAAAGGAATTAATTATGTCTGGAAATTAAATTTGCTTCCATATTTTGTCTTCATTTTTCTACATTGATCTTTTACTTTTTGTTTTATCTAGGAAGATGCTGTTTTCCATATCAAGCAGGTGATCTTTTCTTTCAATGTAGAAATTGTGAAAATGGATCAAATGTTTATCAATCAAAGAGCAATTTTGTAGGTCTGCCAGTTTTTTTGTTTGACTATATAGGTTTAAACTTTATTTAAAAAGAGTTAGCGTACAGTTTAAATATTTGATACAGAGCACATTACAGCAGATTGCTATTTCACCCTGTATCTTGTTAGCAGGTTATTAAATTGATGAAAGATTATTTTACAAATGAAACAAACAGTTTTAACTTTAAATGTATTAGATTAGTAAAATATATAGTATAGCATTTGTATTTTTAGCAACATCAAGACTTTACTTTGGCTTATATTCCTTTTTTATAATTGGTTTTATGCTTAAACCTTATCTTTACCCCCAACCTGAACTATTACAAGTAATTTCCTAATTCTGACCTGATAGTCAGAACAACGACCCCCATTCAAGAGGGGTGGACCCGTTCATCCGTTTCAATTAGTATCGATCTATTTTACTAACAAAATCTCACAAGAATTTGCAAAATATCACGAGAGGTTGTAACAGAACGATGAAATTTCACGAAATTTTGAAAGTAAAATAGATCGATACCACGTTTTTAAAAATCAATTTGATATCAGCATATTAAAATATATTTGAGTATATTATTTTTCAAAGTGTCAGAAATGGATAAGAAAACTGCTATTTTCAATGACTACTTATTTTTGTCCAGCTTTAACATCAGTATCGATATCGGTTATCGGCTACATGAGTTTTAAAATATCGGCATATCGGATATCGGCCAAAATCCCAATATCGTGCATCCCTATAAAAAAGCTTCCTGGATGGGAAGCAAAACGTTTTCAAACTTGGAAACAAAGTCCAGTGGATTGTTTTTCAACTTTTTTGGAAAAAAATAACAATACTTATTAATAAGTGTTTTTTTTTTTTTTTTGTTTTTTAGCTGTTTTAAATAAAGACCAAAGTTAAAATGTGATCCTAACCCTATTTGAACATAACCTTTTACCCTTGATGAATGGGTCAGCCCTCCTACCAACATTGCTTGTATCCTTTCCTCTTCTTACGCTCCAGAGACAAACATGATGTTCTGAGTTTGACATTTATCATAATATATACTGACATTGATTTTAGGGGTGAGTAATGGCATGTGTGTTGCGATACGATACATGTCATGATACATGGGTCATGATATATTATGACGATATTGCAATATTACAACATACTGCAATATTTTACCCAGCTATCAAAATGAAACTTATAAATTAAAAAAGCAAGTGCACAGCAAAAGGGCTCCACAGCGCCATCTAGCAGAGTGGCAGTGCAGAGGTAGCCCTTCTTTGTTCTAGGTTAAAAAAAATGTTTTAATTGATAGAAACTGAATTTAGGAACTGAAAGATCGATATTATATAGGGCCGCCGAAAATCACGATATATCACCAAATAGATTTTTCCTACACCCTTAATAGATTTATAGCCCAGCCAAAGTAGAAGGTAAAGCTTCAAAGTTGAGTCCTAGTAAAAATGCAACATTTCACTCCGACAGAGCCAACACCAATTCCACATTTGCACAATCAGTTTTGAATTTCCTTTATTAAATGTTGCTGGTAGCTATCTGATTTCTATTTCCCCTATTTGCTGCCATTCAGAACCTACAGGATGAATATAAATAGTCTGGACACACGTTTCTTGATTGTATAAATGTGCAACTGAATTTTCAACTTAAAGTCTTAGGGAAGCGGCTGTTCCAACAATTGCATTTCCGAATTCTCAGAAGGCATGGGATTGTTGTGGCAGAAGGTTCGCAAGCAAGTTTGGTTGTGGCCGGTGTCTCGCATCTTGCTAACCAGTTAGCAACTTAGTGCTAGTAGGTTCCCAATGGGAAATTCCATTGGGACCAAGTAGCACTAAATCGGTGACTTAGCAACGACACTGTCAAGGAACGCTATGGACAGAGGAAACATGCAAGAGGAGGAGAGTTTAGTGTCGGAGGTCGTGGATGAGTCTCCTCCGTCATCCATTTTTTATTTAGAGGAGGAAAGCGGGGATGAAGATGTTGTGGAAGAGGACGCCAGGGCGGCAGAAGCTTGGTTTGGTGTAGAAGGCTTCCAGCCGTACATGTTTGAGCCCTTGCCTCGCAACGCTGCCAGTTCTGTTAGCTCTACGCCTGCCGAAGACACAGACGTCCATCCCTGTGAACACTGGGACGGAACTCAGTGCTAAAGTAAATGATTCTTCTTATTTCAACCGTTGCGTATATTAGCTGTGACATATGAATCAAGATGCTATGACCGAAAAAATTTGATTGACAGATTATCTTTGATATATGAATGGCCGAATTTAGGTGTACAATCTTATGTATAACTAACCGGCCTGCAGAAGATAACGATAAAAAAACAACACAGATTTTAAGACACGATTTAAAAAAAAATAGAAATTTTCTAACTTTTGGGACAACATGGTCTGATAAAGAGTACATTTATATACATGTTTAAGCCAGAATGATTTAAAATTTAAATATGACTCCCCTACAACCTAAAATTTTTAGATCTGTTAAAAAGAAAGTTAAGAAAGTACAATTTTTTATACAGTTTAGCTAATTTTGAATCATAAAATCATTTTTTTTATTTACTAGAGAAATTCAAGGCATTGATAAATCTCATCCAGATTATCTACTGATATGTGAATTTTCTGAAACCCAAGAGGAGGTAAGAGTCGGTTTTCCTTACGGCACAAAGGCAGACTCCTGGGCAGACAGGATGCCAGGCGCGTCCAGCGGCCAGCAGATTTCCGTAGAGAGGCAGCGTTTCTGGGTCTTGACAGGGTCACAGATCCGCCTCAGGTCCCATGTCTTTAAGTAGCGGTCCTCACCTGCAGTCGTCAGCAAGAATCTGTGAACAGTTTGGGAAATTAACATCAGCCTAATTTCAATTCATTACACATACATTGTGGAGAAGGATTCAATGCATTTTTACAAGTGAAAGAAAAACCGTAAGAAAATTTGCCTTATACTCTAAAGTTTCAGATGAAATTCATCACTTCTCTGCTCATTGATCAACTCTGCCAGCAGAGTCGGCAATAAACAAATGATGACACAGAAATCAATACCCGTTTTAATGCAAGGAGAGCAGCGAACAGACTTTTCAGTTCATGTGTGAGAATAAAGAAAGGCGGTGGAATCAGAAGGATGAAATCAGGCTTCCTGATTAAAAAGCAGTGGCCAAGATAAAACAACAAAACCTTTCTACGGTTTGCTCCGTGTTCTGGTCATCTGTTCTCTTCATTCAACTAATATTTTAGATTTGCATGCATAAAATACACAGCTGATGTGGAAAATCATACATTTCTGTGTAAAAAAAAAAAAAAAAAAGCTAGTATTATATCTGTCCAGACATAAACAATGCAGCTGAGCTGTTAATGGTACCATTAACTTCCCAGAGACGTTTCTGAGCATCATACTAGCCACTAGCCACAGCATAAAAAAAAATGAAAACAAAGTTAGATGTGATGTTAATCTTAACTCAATGTGATGTTCTGTGGGATTTCTGAAAGAACAGAATGCAAAGTTTGACTCCATGCTACTAAATCCCAACAACAAAAACTGGCTAACAGGTTAAAAGAGCAATAAGTAATCCTGACACCTAGTGTTTAAAATCAGAACTACACACAGAACTGAGCCGCTTTGAATACTTTTGAAGGATGCTGAGATTTCTTAGGTTCTGGTCTATTTTTCTTGCTGCCTTCCATGTTTACAGGCTGCTGCACTTCAGCAAAATCAATAAAATACCAAATGCGGCCCTCTGTGGATCCCTGGGAGCTCTGATTTGATTGGTTAAGAACCAGGAAATAGTTCCACACAGTAATTCTAGGCTTGAAAGCATAAAAACTTGACTAAGATGTGGTTAATAGACGACTGATTATTTATAGCGAATGTTACTTTCATCCCGGGTGAAAATTAAAATGATTCTGGGTAATTTTATGAGAAATGTACGGAAGAGGATTAGGGCCAGTGGAAAAAAAAAAAAGTTAACTGATTTTTAAATTTTATTTCAGTTTAACATGGGAAAAAAAGTCAGCATTCTGACTTTTTTTTCTCAGAATTCTGACTTTTTTATTGTCAGAATTCAGTCAGAATTCTGAGATTAAAGTCAGAATTCTGACTTTTTTCCCATACTATACTGAAATAAAATTAAAAAAATCTGTTAACTTTTTTTTTTTAGTGGCCCTAATCCTCTTCCGTAGAATGTCTTACTTATGAAGTGAAGCAATAAATCTGAACAGGTAAAGGAATATGAAGACTTTTAAAGAATTCAAAATAATTCAGAAATTTTAGCATTTGCATCATAAACAGCTAAAGAACAACTAATATTTTAAGTAATTTCTAAGTAGTAATCTCTCTGTCCCAGCCTTTGTATTTGTATTTCTTAAATGGTTTTATTCTGTATTTTGATTTTGTTTCTCACATTGTGTTTTTATCTTTTGTACGGTACCCTTCAGTGTCCAGAAAGGTGCCTTCAAAATAAAATGTATGATTATTATTATTAAGTTTAATAATGTTTTAACGTTTTATTCATAATTCATATACAGAAAGAAAAGTTTAACAGACAAAAAGAACTTGTGGGGCTCAAAACTTAAATTCTTTCTTGTTTTTCTTCTAAAACGTATCCAAGCCACCATAACTATGCAGCACAATGGTGTCCATGACATCAACACAACAAATAAGAAAACATTTTAATAAATAAAGAGGGAAGGGCAAGTTAACTAGTCCTTCATTTTAATAAAAGGAAGAGGTTTAAAATGAACATCAAGTATCAGTTATCTTTTAAATCTGTGGCCAAATGACCAAGAAATCAATAAAACAAATCACAGAAAACAAGAAATGAATTTCAAATGAAATTGCTCCTTCGCTTTTATGGATTAATCATCAGTTTAAAGTTCTTTTTTTCGCTCCTAGCACTGAGCAGATGAGGATTTCTACAGCGTCCCAGTAAGCAGGAGTGAACTCTGAATATAATCTTCAGAGGATATGAGCCGCAGCTGTAGTTAAAGCTGATAGTTTGGCTCATTTGCATGCTGAGGAATTTTTAACTACCATCTTAATTTCATCGACTGATGGAGCGAGCTGCTCTGATTACGCCGCAATGATCTGCATATCAATGTGTTAAACCAGGAGATCTGGTGATTTTAACATTTCATTAGGAAATAATCTGATAAAAGACAGAAAGATGAAATTATGTTTGAATTTTAGAGTCAGGTCTTAAAGAAAATTACAGATATACATTTTAGGAACAAAAGGGAAGACTTATACTTCTTATTTGGACATAATGATTATAAGGATGAGATTATTTGGGGTCTATTATTGCCATTTCACAGAAGTCTCAGTAACTTTGTTTTTCTTTAACAAGATATTAACTAACAAAATAGGATGTAACTTATCTAAGACATAAAGAGAATCTCATACATTTGCAAAAACGAACTAAAAATACTTTTTATACTGCAGTCTTAGGTTAACCCTAATGCTGCACTGCATGAGTGATTTTCTGCTTCAGGCACAATGGATGTAAATGACTCCTTTATTCTTCTCCTTCACATTTCATACATTAACTGAGCAATATAGCTGAGAAAAAGGAAAAACGATCACAGCTCAGATTAATAAGGTAAAAAGCTTGATGATATTCAGAGTTTTGTCATTGTTTTCATCTACTGGTGTATTTTTAGCAAAGATTTTGTAAAAATCAGTAATTTCTTTCAATTTTACACCTTACAAATCTCTTTCTAAACTATGACTTAAACTAAAGGCAGGTGAAAAAAAAATCATTCTACATAATATTTTACAAAAAGAAAAGTCTAATGTGGGAAATGTTTAAGAAAAACCAAAACAAATAATCAGAGATGGGAAGTAACGAAGTACAAATACTTCGTTACTGTACTCAAGTACATATTTCTGATATTTTTACTTTACTTTACTACTTATTTTTATGGCGACTTTTTACTTCTAGTCCTTACATTTAAAAAATTGGCTCATTACTTTAGTTTTGAATCATTTCAATGGAGTTACCGTTATTGTTTTTCACGTCATCAATACCAAATTCAATCTAATTAGATGGGAATCTACGTTGCATTTGACGCACCACTACAAGATGAATCGACAGATTCGGCGGTATTCATTCGCAGCAAATCATTGCAGCTTGGTGGCGGTGGCGTTAGCATAGTAGCATGGACGACGAGATGATTGAAAATGAACACAACGGAGATCTAGTCCTATTGGCAGACATCCATTTAAAATGTAGGCAACGGCATGAAAAAAGTGGTTTCTACTTTTACTTTTATACTTTAAGTAAATTTACAAGCCTGTACTTTGTTACTTTTACTTGAGTAAAGAAGTTTAATCAGTACTTCCACTTTTACCAGAGTATTTTTTAACACAAGTCTCTGTACTTTTACTCAAGTATGGAAAGTGAGTACTTTTGCCATCTCTGCAAATAATTGTGTTAAAAGTAAATCAGATTTTTCAGAGGTTGATATTGGCTGGTGACGTTTACTTGAGTATCCTTTTGAGAAAGATGTACTTTCAGGAGTAGGGGAAATATACATTTGAATGTTTTAATTTCATTGGTTTAAAGGACCACTGAGGCCATGTAAACGGCACTGATTATCCTTATTTTAGTATTTTAAGTTTTATGAATCCACGCCAGTAATAGTAATATTTCTGTCCAGTATTTGTTTTCATGGCAACACCTCCAAAAGTCATTTCAATAAATTTTAAAAAGATATTCTATTGCAAAGTTCTAATATTGATGCTTTACATGTTCATTTTTTAAATAATTAGTAATTTTTAAACCCACTACAGTTTTTTCCCCCTCGTCTAAAACATTATGGAGATACAATTAAAACTAGAACACATTTTACCTTTCAGCAAATTCTTTAAAGTGAGAAGAGCTCACCTGGATGCAGGACAGAAGACCAGAGATCGTACTGCATGCTCGTGAGCCAGAATGCATCGATAGGGCAGCAGAGTCATAGATCTGTCAGACTCTCTAACTCTCAACAGGGAAGATTTCGTGGAAAGATCCCAGAGTCCAACTAAGCCTGGAGGAAGAGAAAAAGGTCAGGAGTGTAAGCACAGAACAAAGCAACAATTTAAGGAGATAGAGCAGATTTTATCAAGAGAAGAGTTTCTGAGGAGACCTAATTCTTTATTTGTTTATTCTGACAAAATAAGTCAATTATCAGGATCGGAAGAAAATAGCTTCACACCATCATAGAATCCAACAGCCACTATGTTGTGTGGTTTTTGAGGAAGCCAGTCCATAGAGAGGACCTGTCCACTCCTTTCTTTCCGAGGAGATTTGATGCCGCCCAGTTTTAAGGTGACCACATCTCGTGCCTGCAGAAAACAGAAGAATCAGTGCCGTTTCATAACTTTATGTCTTCCTCCACGTTTCCTCACTTGGTGTTTCATTTCAGAATTTGCTGGTTCACCATTAATCCTCATAAACACAGATGGATGAAACTTTTATGAAAAACAGAGCCTACCTTGTAAATTGGAGGGATTTCAGCGTTGCTTTCTGTAAAAAAACACAAAGTCGACATTTTCAAAACATTGCTAATACAGGTTTAGAGTTCATAATATGCAAATTAACATTAAGAGAAAATATAGGATGACACGGATTAAAGAAAGTGGTGAAACTGATCTGTATATGATTGTTTGTCAAACCAAACATCCAATAAAGTTCCAATTGTCAGGGCTCCTGTCTGTGTGTGTTTGTTATTTTTGTGTTTGTCTCCCTTCCACCAACAGGGGGCGCCTGGTTCCGGTTTGCCTCCTCACACACCTGCTGACGGTTATCTCATTAACAGAGCGCTCTTAAGCTGCTGATTGCCACTACCTCGACGCCAGAGTGTTTGCCAGTTTTGGGAAGTCATCCTGCAAACTGGACCTTTTCGGACATCCCCTCCCAGGAGGGATAAACTGAGTCTAAACTGAGCCAGGGATTCAAACATGGATCCAGTCTCCTTTGAGGACGTTGAAATTACTCTCTGAGCAAGGGAATCATCTTCACCACGACCCGTTCAATTACGGGTGGAAATCTGAGTGGCAATCAGTGTCTCCGTTCCCCTACGCCGTCCCAGTTCTGGGTAAACCCTGTTTCGCCCTCCACCGAGTCAGACAAACTCTGGAAAACCAACACACGGATAGGAGTCAAGGATCCTTCACTTCTCTGGAAATGTGAGTCAACAACCAGATCCTCTACATCTAAATCAACGAATCAAATTTCCCACTGAGCCTGAACTAATAGACTGTCTTCCCGTCATCTTCCAGTTCCGGTCGAGCAGAGCTCAGAGAAACTCTGCACCGTGCTTAACATCCTCAATAAAATCCCTCAAACTTTTCATCCGTGTCTCTCTGTTTGGTTTCACTGCATGTGGGTCTGAGCCTTAGATAAAATCATGACACCAATAAGCCACTACTTGGGCACTGGGGTCACGTTTTCTTGATGCAGGTAAAAGAAGTTGAAGTCCAAACTTGTAGAGGTTCAATTGATTTATTTCCTATATTTTAGCAACATTATAGAGTTCAAACATTCCATTTGCTCTGTCACCTCTCTTGCACTGGTAAAAACTAGGGATGGGACGATTTATGAAAACCGTCCGAACCGTTCGGTTCGACTGTCTCAGTTCGATTTGCGTGTGTTTCTTTCCGTTCATGCGCTGCTCCTTTTTCTCATAGGCGAAGCGTGTACACTCCAGAGCAGAAGGTGGCGGTACTGCGACCAAAGCCAACCACCAGTAGTAAACAAGAAGAAGAAGAAGCGAAGCAGCGTAGCCGGGTGTAGCAGAAAAAAATCTGTTGTTGTGGAGAATTGTGTGGGTATGGCGAGTGGGAAAGAACAGGAGTTGGAAGACGCGCCAGCAGCACTTTATAGGTCTGCTGTATGGGACCACTTTGCATTTAGAGTGACCTACGATGACGGCGGAAAGAAAGTTGTGGATAAAAGTGCAACAGTGTGCAAGCATTGTGCAACACGTTTTGTTTATGCTAACAGCAACATGACCAACATGTCATGCTAACCCCGAAATCCCTCATACTCCGTCAGCAACCCCGCTCCGCCCCGCTGCGCTCCAGACCGGCTGCTCAAAGCAAAGCCTACAGCCCCCACTGTGGCTCCCGTCTGCTCCCCTCTGAGTTCCTTGGAGATGGTAGAGAGCATGCGCGAGATGATTAAATTCAAAGCAGCAAAACATGCGGAAATGATCCAGGGTTTCCGCGGATCATTTAAAATAATTACAACACATTATTTTTTGGGGGATTTTTTCATTAATTTCCTAAATTTTTATGGGATTTTGGTGTAACAACATATACCGAATCGAACCGAACCGAAAACCGTGACCACGAAACCGTGAATCGAACCGAACCAAACCGTGGTTTTTGTGAACCGTTCCACCCCTAGTAAAAACCTATTGGCCCCTAACCCAAATGCCTGCTGGTCCTTACCAGGCTCCTACATTTATAGAAAACGGACCGCCCACATTTCTTCCTGTTTTACATAATAAAGAAAGGAAAAAAAATAAATAAATACACAAATTCAACACTTAACCTATAAATAAACTCTGTAAATATTACAAAAAATATATATAAATTTAAGAATAAAATAACAAAGTTTAAATGGACAAAGTAATAAAGAAAAATAGCTCCAACATGATCCTTAAAAATGTAGACAATCTGGATGGGTTTTTGTGTAAAACATGCAAATTGAACAGGAAGAACAGGTCCGCCCCTTAGGATATGGCAGTCTTTCTAAGCCCAAACAAGGCTTTGTTTTTGGTCCACTCTATAAAGCCTCAAACTCAAAGCTATTTCCGACATTTGAATTGAAAAAGCTTCTAGGATGGGAAGCAAAACGTCTTCAAACTTGGAAACAAAGTCCAGGGGATTGTTTTTAAACTTTTTTTGTAATGACTATGACCTGGATGACCGAGGTTCTTCACCAACAGAAGGTTTTTATGGCTCTAATGCAGCAGTGGATTTGTTAGTAATCACTTCTATTTTTAATGGTTCTAGAAAAAGCAGTTGTCAAGCTGTTCTAGATCATTAGGTTTCCCTCCTCCTCCAGTTTGCAGTTCAGATCAATATTGTCCGGTTAATTCCTCCGTACTATCCATCACCTCACCTCAACTTGAGTTAAACACAAAATACTTTATTTACTAAAGACTTTTCAGCTTTAAAAGACGATAAAATAACACAATAATAATAAAAGTTTTTTGTTTAATTGAAACAATTAAACAAAAAACATTCATTAACAAATCAAATAAAACATTAAATGTGATAAAGAGGTGAAAATACCACCAGAAAGATGCTACTCTGAGGGTTTATTCTGCCATATTATTTTTTTCATGTCAAAATTTTGTACTTTTCCAAACTTAGATTGTCAGAGTTCAAAAAGCAGGATGGATGAAATCTAAATGAATTAGCAATTAGATACGTTCGAAGGATGAAAAGATGTTAGCATGACAAACAAACACATTAACAGGTTTGAAAACCTTGATTTAAAGAAATATTACCTAAGTAAATAGAAAACCAGTTAACATGGCCTTCCTGCTACGCCCCCAACATCCTTCTCCCCCTCCCACCCAACCCAAAGCAAGTGTTGGATGAATGACAGCGCAGGGATACCAGACCAATCAGCTACAGGAGCTAAAATTCATAGCTTCCAACACTAACAACCCACTGGGTGATGCATCTTCTTTGTCATTTCAATTATAGATCCTTGTCTGATGGAGAAAGGCGCTGTAAATTATGGAGGCTCCCAACAACACCTCACATTGTCACTGCCAACCCCCCCCCCACCCCCCCCCACCTCAAATTCTGCAGTTTTTAACAGCCTCCTCCACTCATTCATGCTCATTCATTGTCGCCAGCCGATCGACAAAAGCCATTTACAATTATCTGTGGCAAACAGCAGTGGGCTGAAGCAGGGAGAACAGAGCAGACACACTTAGATCCACTTTAACCCAGCTTCAGTCAATTTCCCCTTTAACCCTTCCAGCTGATATGGAAGAACATAAATCTGACATTCAGCTGCATCATTTGATCTGCATTTGATTCCATTAAGGAACTGTGAGCATTTTTCTCACACTCGTTTTTCACTCAAATTTAAACTAAAGGAAATAATCCAAATGTCAGAACCTCCAACTAATAACAAAATGTGGAGAAAAAAAAACTATTCTATGAGACTGCAGACGTATAAATAACTGAAGAAAACGACAGAGATAGAAAAAAACTTAACTTAAAACAAATTGTAAATGTGCAATAATGTGCCATTTTGAAACATTGCACTGCAATCACAGCACCAGCTTTTAAAATAATTTTTTAATTCCTGTGAGTTTATTAATAGACCAAGAGCTAGAACCTCCTGCGATTACAAAAGCTGATCTAAACTAAATAAAGATTTCTTAAAATATGTGTATTTGTCCTTAATTTAAACAGGTAAGTAGAAGGATCTGCCAACTGAGTGTTTTTTGCCCTAAAAATAAGATACTTAGATATTATCTGCTTAAAATAATTAATGGATTTATTTCAATTGTAAATCATTTTATTTCCCTGACAAATTGTCTTGCTTAATTTAGAGGATATACACTTATTTCAAGAAAAAAAATCACTTATCATTGGTAGTTTGAGGGCCATTTTCTGATTAACCTAGTCTTAAGTCTTCTGTAACCTTTTCTATTTACAGTATTCAGCATTTAACTCTAAAAGCTTTCAACTGCTTCCTATTCCTCCTAAGTTAAGCAAACCTACATCATGCTGCCAGATGTTTAACGGTAGGACTGTGGTGGCAAAGCGTCACTTATCCTTTTTTTCAGGTTTTCTGGGTTCTCAACATGGAGTGTTTCACACTAACATTAGCACTTTAAATTAGAGTTAAAATCTACGAGACTTTGCAGCGTTTTCCATAAAAAAATAAATAAATTCATCATAAATTCACTTTAAATTATATATATAATAATTCGACCAAACGCACATACAGTATCTGATAAGTACGGAAGAGGATTAGAGCCACTGAAAAAAAAAAAAGCTAACTAATTTTTTAATTTTATTTCAGTTTAACAGAATTCTGACTTTTTTCCTCAGAATTCTGACAGATTCAAGAGAGCTAGTCTCTGTTTTAGAGACTAGCTCTCTTGTTTTAATGACCTTCTGCTCCTCCATTAATGAGGGGACCCCTCTAGTACGTAAAAAGTTGCCTAATTCATTCATTTTCCACCAATGTGTCACTGGCACTCTCAAACAACTCACATCTATGTCAGTAAAGCTGAATGCTCCCACATCTCTTCCTTCATGGTGCCCATCTACATTAAGCTCCAAAATTCTGAGATTATAGTCAGAATTTTGAGACTAAAGTCAGAATTCTGACTTTTTGCCATATTAAACTGAAAGAAAATAAAATAAATCAGTTAACTTTTTTTTTTTTTTTTTCAGTGGCCCTAATCCTCTTCCGTAGATAAGGGTGTCATAATACAACTTTTCATTTCAATAAGGCACCGATATTGCAGCTTAGCATTGACT